GACGTGAAAAATTTGCTGTACTTTCCCTGGGATTCAAACTCCGGACATTTCGATTGCCAATGGAACGTGCTTCCAGTTATATCACGAACGAACACGGTAAAGGATAAGAAAATATCTTATAAGATTTCCAGAATGATTTGAAAAAGTAAATGGAAACTGACTTCTTTTCTTGCCACTCACCTAAGGTGCTAGCATATAAAAATTTCGGGAAAACATACAAAAATTCCGATGCCGAAATAATTCCCAGTTCCTAACATTAAATCTAGGTTAAATTTATTTGACAGTGATAAGTAACTCCATGGCATCTTTTATGTGTCTGGGTCCACTGGGCAACGTCCCCCGGCGTTCTGGCTAAGACCAGTGCTTAGACAGACTCGGCTCTTGGGGCACATAACCAGTCTTCACAGTGATTAGTACCATCGATTCTTCGGTGATACGTTAAGGCTCGGCAGAGATCGTACTGGTATTGTCTTGTCTGTTCATTAGTTGTGGGGATGCTACATGGCTGGATATCGAAGGATGACCTTGGGGGTTTGGCTCCCTTTGGTCAACACTGGGGTAAAATCTTTGATCTGACTTCGTTCTCTTTGTAGGTGACCGGCTGGACCCCCGGTCGCCATTGACTTGCGTTTTTTTTTAACTTTGACTGTGTGCAATTTTGTCCTCTGGGTTGACCGGGGCTTTTACCTCCTTGGATCGCCTCTGGAGGAGGAGCAGTAACCATGTCAAGGGCTTGAAATAGGCCAAGGTCTGGGAGTATCCCTCTCTGATGTACTGCGCGACAAAGGGGTACTCAAAATACATGGCCCGCCGAAAGTCTTCTCGAGAGACTGATGGTAGGGGAAAAGGAGTGGAAGACCCTCGGACAGCTCCTTGCGTGTTCTCCCTGAAAACTGGGGCGCAATTGCACAGTTAGTGCGGCGGAACTAAACTGTAGAACCCGTTGTGAAGTTCTGGTGTCCAGCCCACTTCTACCTGTACCTATATATTCTGCATAGGTTTGTGGGAATTTCTGTAGTTTTACATTCCATTTTATAAGTGTGAAGAATGTTTATAAAATTCGATGTGGGTAGAATGGCGCATTTAGTTTAACCATTGAAAATCCAAAAATAATCAATACGCATCTTATATTTTAGGTTGAAGAAGAAAATCGTGTGCTATGTAATATTTTATCAACACTTTTGTGCATCACATTACTACGTCTGAAATTTCTACTCTTGCTTGGCCCAGTATCGGAATTTGCTTGTGATCTGGATGATGAGAAAAGTGAAATTTCTCATAGAACAGTGTGTTTGATTTGCAAACAATGATAAATTTTTTCTACCGTGTAGTTCTTCGCTGAAAACATAATTTAGTTAATCCTGTAAAACTGCCTTAAACATATATGTTACTTCTCAATTAAAATCATTCTTTCCTGCATAAAGCAAACGCTGAAAGATATTTTCCCTTTTCACTTATTTCCATGAAAGCTAAAGTCCTCTTCGGATTTGTTTTATCAACCGAAAAAGGTACTAATTTAGACTTATCGTAAAACCTAATGAATAAATGACATAAAGTAATTGCCTAAAGCCAAGTGTGGGTGGATGTTTTCAAATAATATCTTGAAAACGTTGGCTGTCTTAAAAGTACGATTCAGAAAGTGTCCGATAATCAAATATTTTTTCAGCGAGTCAGCACGATAAGAACGTGTACCATTATCCTGAGTTCAGGAGCAGAAGCACCTCGAAAAAGCATCAACACTAATGTAGGATGATCATCCCTGTAAAACATGATTGATGTAGTATTTAAACACACTGATACTACTTATAGTGATTGCTTTTTGTGCGGAAATTTTGGACCCCCATAACTATCTCTTTGGGCAATAGTGGGGATGAGGATTGAAACATGCTTTGAGTCTCGCAAGGAGAACAGCCATAGAGAATTAGTCTCCAATCTAAAACGTGAACCCAAAGAAGAAAAATAAATAAAAATAACGCATTGCTTCACTGATGTGTGGTCGGAGTAACGTGTTCATTTCACTATATAAAGCGAATCCTCTTGAGATGTTATCTTAAACTGCTACAAGACCTGCTAAATACCCTTATCCAAAGAAACATTTCTGGAATCTGGTTTGCAGTTGAATTTGATTGTTTGATCTATGCGAAGACTTCCCAAAAATACGTTCTCTCCTTCCGCTCGTACACGAGGCAAAACATTTTCCCCAGCATTGTAAAATATACCGGGTACTATGTAAAACAGATGGCTAAACGGAACTGTTTTACTAGAAATATCCCTTTCAAAATGGAACTGAGAAAAACGCGGAGTTTCACGGAAAAGTTCCTTATAGCATCGCTATCCGTGATAATGAGGAACACATGCAAATAGGTATCTTTGTACGCAGGGTATTTGGAGTTAACGTAAATCATTTCCCTGGATTTAAATGGTAATCCCTCAAGCTAAAGAGAGGTCTGTAGCCAATACATTTTATGGGCTGTTCTTGGAAATTATGGTCATATAGCCATCCTTTCGTTCTTTTACATAATGTAGGGATCCATATAAATCCATACAAAATTCGAATATTCTCCCCAGCCTGAAAAACTTCTGCATAACTTAAAAACATTTAATGAGAACTTGGCATAGCTACATGTCGCAATGTCCAGCTTTTAACTCTGGTACCCTTAACCGATATAATGCCATAAATATGATTTACTTGTCCACATGTTTTTGCTACAAATCGTATTTGGGAAAGAAAAGCAAGAACCACTTTTTCAGATGCACAGTATACTTTTAGACAATAAAATGAACCAAAGCTTACATTCAAGTTTCTTTTTCTCTATTTCAGTTCATATTCATACTGTGTTGCTTATGTACCTTGGTAACCAAAGCGTATTTCCAAATTAACGAAAAAATAAGATTTCTAATTCGGTGATACTCAGCTTTCATAGGGATTTTGTTTCTAACTTGCATAATAAACACTAGAAAATGTTGTGGGCTCTAAAGTCTGCTGGCCGGGACAGCGGCACTGGGTGCACCAGCTTTTGGCGCTAGCCCTACTGCTTGGTATGAAAGAATTTAGGGATCTCAGTTTCAGATCGGAATTTTCAAACGCCTCTTCAAATCCTAATGTTATAACATAATTTAACATTCCACAATTTACCTGTCATTTACTTATGAAAAACAAACGTAGTTTCTCATGAAGTCCGTAAGTAAATCATAAATATCTCCAAGAAATTGTTTTAAAAAAAGAAAATTATAGAAAAAAAAAAAAAAAAAAGCTCCTTTTAACTAGATTTTCGATATTGAAAAAAATAAATAAATTGATTAAATTTAAAAAAATGATACCACTCAGAGAGAAGGAAAATTAAAGCAGCTCTTTCTAAAGTAAATAGTTACCTGTTATAGGTTCCGTCAAGATCTTAAACAATCAGAGTGGCCGAAGAGAGGACATCTTAAGCTTTTATTTCAGATTGAAGCAGCAACAATTTTTACGGAAGAAAAACAGGTAAAATAATCTGATGTGGATACCACGTGACTTCCGTGTGCGGCCTATTATACACATTTTCTGTTGCAGTTCATTTAAATTCATTTCCTTGAGTTATTTTTTATTTAAAGCAAGTTGGAAATGGCACCAAAAATTGCACATTTTGAAATTAAATATCCCGGTTAATTTTTGTGTATGGAAGTCAAATTTCTCAAAATTTTATTTATTCATAACGAGTGTAAAATTTATATAAGTATAGGTCACAAATATAAGTGCAGGAACCGGGAGATCGTATTAAAAATTAAATTTCGTGATTTGTCGAAAATATTATTATTATTTTTTTTAATTTGACATTAACAAAACGTGAATATTTTCATCATTTAAAACACTTCTGCAATTGGAAGTATATGACCACGACCAATGATTGCGAAATTGTAGGCTGGGTAAGGATTTCTGAGCCGGGTGGGTACATACATATGGCACTGCTGATTGCAATAAAAAAGGGAGGTGCACAACTAGATGTTATAGAAGGGTACTCTTCTGGTATCAGGACCGCATTCAGAAATATATGTATATATGCATGTATGTATGAATGTATGTGTTCATTTATGCATGTGTATACGTACGTACGTAGGTGTGTGTGTGCATACACTCACACGATATCAACAAACTGTCTCAATCACCAAAAGACCTTGTAGCAGCGACCTGTTTATACAGTGATCAAAGGGGAGCGGCACTATAGGAACCTTTTAGAAAAATCAACCCTAACGTGTTTTGTAGCTCAGCAGTTGTCATTTCATTTGATAGTACAAAACTTTTAAGTATCTAAGCCCCACTAAAATTTAGGTTATTTGCATAAGGCAAAGCGAACAAGGGCTATCAGCCTAAGAGAAGGAATGTCTTCATGGAGAACGGTCTAAAGGAAATTAGCTCGTATTTACGTTAGATATAAGGAAAACCATGAAACCCAATGCAGCCAGCCCGTTTGCCTGGGATGGAACCCAAGTTGAACTCCCTATATTTCGTGGTTCCTAAGCCTCTAAAAGAAATAACAGGTCTTAGAAAGTTCACTACAAAGGCATACGCAAATAGTCCGCGTATTTCCTCATATTCGACCAAACAAATAAATATTAAAAATAAATTTTAATATTTTTTAAAAAAATTATTTGCATTGACTGCTAATTTATTTTGTCATTCCAGACTACTTGGAGTGCTATAGTCAGTTACATTTTTCGCGTCGCTTATGGTCAATATTTTCCGAGCTCTTTAAAAACAAAAGTCTGTTGTCAAGTCATTTTAAAGCAGATGAAAAATGTTTTGCGTCTGTCAAAACGAAATTGTGTTTCTGTTCAGTTAATAAAACACTCTTATCTGTCATTTACACGAATGTAATTGTTTCAGTTTATGAGCAGTGGTCGTCTCCCTTTCGTAGTGCTTCCAATGTATTATTATTTGTACATGAATTTGACCTTGGAAAACACTTTCCGCTAAGCAGGAAGTCACTGCTTCATAACTAAGCAGTGTGCGTACGCCGACAGGCGCCTTCTAGTTTTTGAATCAAATCTTCTGATGTTTACGGCCGGAAAGGTTTGTTTTTTGAGCTGCGCGCTAAATAGAATGAGCGGCTCGTCGCGGTAGTTTGTAGCGGCTGGTTTGTAGCGATGGATAAGTCACCTGTTGATCGTGGAGGCAAAAACTGGAAATTCAAATCTGACGAAGATATTGCACCGCGCTCACCGGGTGCTAATGCTAAATTATTGCCGAAATCAAAGAATATTGATATTCGTCCGGCACGATCTCGTACTCCAGATGCAAAATCTCCTCCGAAGTTTTATCTGCCTGGCTCACCTGTTTTAGAAGTGAAATCGCGATTTACCTTTGGAACGTCTACTGAGTGTTTACCTAGCGGCGATCAAAAGCTGATAGCAGAACAAGACGGATTGGTTCGAACTTCTTCGTTCATATCTCATCCTTCTCCTTTCAAATTCCATGATGTTGAAAGCTTTCCTAAAAGTGTTCCTTTTGGCCGCAGTCGCAGAATGTCCCGCTCATTACCTGAATTACGAGATATTCAATTTGTTTCTGTGTTACCTGATGTGGAGGAAGAAGAATCTGATTCATCTGAGTATCCAGCAGGGGAAGAAGTTGTTGTTGAAAAGCCTACAAGAATGCCATGGCATAGAAAACTAGATTTCTTGTGGTGTTGTGTTTGTCAAGCTTTAGGATTAAGCAATATTTGGCGATTTCCATATTTCTGTTACAGCAATGGTGGTGGTAAGTTTCATTAGCCGTTCATAATAATAATAATATATTTTTTTTTTTTTTTTTTTTTTTTTTTTTGCTATTTGAAAGAAAAGAAAAGTATTTGGTTCTTTTTTATTTTTCTATTTTAAAAAGGCTGTTTTATGACTCCTTCCATTAAAGGATCGATAAAAATAAATTATTTATTGATAAAAATAAATGCATTGATGTTTACTGATATATTAAAATAAATGTTTATTGATTAAAATAAATATTTACTGATAAAAATAAATGTATATGGCAAATTGTCATACCAACTTAAAACATGCTATTTCATTCAGTAATTTCTGATACACAGTTAATAATGCCCTATATGCATTTTGTAAAATCTTAACATGTAAGCTTTATCTTTTCTATGATAATTTAATAGCATAATTATAATTGTAACTAGTAATACTGCTTTTTGTTTTTGCAGAAGTATTGCATATTATATTCTTTTCAATTAACCTCTAATTGGTATCCAACGGTGGGACCAACAAATCAGCTAACAGAGGAAGGAAGATGTATAGCCTTTGTAGTTCAAAATTCTTAGGTTTCTGACTTTTTTTTTATTTTGAAACAGAGTTCTGCTGAAATTTGTACTGCTGGAAGTAAAATTTTATTTAGGTTAAATTAGATGTCAATTTGTATATTAATAGATGACAAAAGCAAAGGTATCAGTTGAACATATTCATTTATTTGAAAAATGAGGAGAGAGGAAATAGTTATTTCTTCTAGATAAAAAATTCCATATCTTTTAAAAGAAACTATTTAAAACATTTTGTTTATTTTATTTTCAGGTTCATTTGTGCTGCCATACTTGGTATTTATGCTTGTATGTAGTATTCCTTTTTTGTGTATGGAACTGGCCATTGGACAGGCAACCCAGTCTGGACCAATATCAGCGATTGGGCAAATTTGCCCATTAATGAAAGGTACATAAAATAGTTTATTTCTAAATATATTCTGAAATTATTGGTTTTCTCATTGTGACAATTTTTAAATTTATTATTAAATTATTTTCATATGGAAAATATTTTAAGTTCAGCATTAAATGTATTAATCTATGAATGTATTCAGAAATATGTGAAGCATGCCTAGAGATAATGGAATAAAATAGGTTTAAGTAGGTTTTTTTTTATGATGTCTGCATTTTCATGTTCAGTAACTGCACTGTTATAAGACAAAGTTTATTAAACTTTGACTATAGGTTATTAATTACTTTAAATGTTGCTGAAAAACAATCTCTGATCTTTAAAAATATATTTTAAAATTTTATTTCTAATTAAATGCAACTATTATTTATGTATTTATTCCAAGTTGTTTAACTTGAAAAAAAAAATAATAATTGTCAAACAGTTAATAAAATGTACAGGGTCATCAATGCATCTTACAAACATGGAAATACTGTAGTAGTTTTCTCCATGTGTAATGTGTATACGAGCCAGTTTTCCCAAAAAAGTCATCCTTGAAGACATCCTTCTACTCGGGCAGATAGCCCTAGTGTTCTTTGCTATAATCAACTAAAACCAAATCTTTTCTCTTTTTGTAATTTTTATTATACACATATTAAATAAGTGAAAATAAACTATTTGTTGCAAAAATAAAGTAATAAAAGTTGTAAGTTTTAAGCTGAAAATACTGACACTTACCTGCATGAAATTTTCGGTACTTTTCTCTTATGTACCTGTCACACAGTTTGGCGGTAGTATCATAAAAATATAATATGTGCATATTTCATTATTCTTGTTTGCACACACGTGCAAGTCCCTTGATGATACTGTGGATGGTCTAACCATGTGTTTGGCTTCTGTTTCAAAGGTGCCCAAAAATGTTGCAGGTGCATAAGAGAAAAGTACTAAATTTTCTGTGTTCTGTCTCTCTCTCTCTCTCTTTTTTTTTTTTTTTAAAAAAAAAGAAGGAAGATGTCACATTTTTATAAAAATTCTCTTTTAATATTTTACAGGTATTGGTGTTGCAAGCATGATGATTTCATTTTGGCTTACTGCCTGTTTTAGTGTATTAACCTCTTGGACAATGTTCTACACATTCAATTCTTTTTATTCTCCACCTCGATGGACCCGTTGTACCAATACTTGGAACAGTGACTCATGTCATGATTCAGTCCATTCTATTCTGCATTTAGCATCTCCTAGTGACGAAAAAACTTCTAAAGTTACAAACTCATTTGATCCTGCTGCAAATAATTCCAGCATGGTCACATCACCTCTCCCAAACTTTTATATTGATGATGTTCCTGCTGCTTCACAAACTGGAAATTTGTCACATATGAATGTAATGGATGAAAAATTTATTGTAAATATATCACATCCAGCAGTTGAATTTTTGAAGTGAGTTTAAATTCTGCCGTAAATACTTATAATGTTACTGTAATAAAACCTTATTTATATAATTAAGTGTTGTTCAAGGTACTGTTGAACTGAATATCGAAATGTAAATTCAAAATTATTAACTTTTCTTGGAATTTTTTATTATTTGAAGTTTTCTTTTGCTACCTTCAGTTTCATTTCATTCAATTTCAGCAGTACTTAAATCTTGAATAATAAATGTTTGAACTGTGCAACACTATACCCAGAATTACCAGTAGATTTTCTGAATAAATTTGAAACTGTTTAGGGATTTGCAATGGTCTGGAAAATGTTCATATGAAATTCATAGCTCATATGTGCACTTATGTCCAAATTTATCTTTACATAGCCCCCTGCCCCCAAAATAATATTAATTGAAATATCCAATTGATATAATCCATTTCTGCAGAGAAAATATGAAAGACAAGCCTGATTAACATTATTCAGCCAAAAGTCATATGACAGTGAATTAAGTGCTTCATGTATAGTGAATATCTGCAATATAGCACTTGATTACAGTGTGTAAGGATTCAGAATGATCTTTTATGGCTCTAAAATATCATTTAGAAGAATTTGTGAAGTGGCAAATCATTAGCCATTTAGAAGCAGAGCAAACAATCATGAAAGCAATGAGATGTGGGAATATTTCAAGACTGACATCTCTATGCTATGAAAATAATCCCAAAGCTCCGTAACTGTTGCAAGGAGACCTGGATAAAATTGAAGATGAGTAACCACTGTTTCTCAAGATTGATATCATCAGAATAGGAAGTGTAATGCTTGGCAGTTAAGTCCAGAGCTCCCAGCCATCACTGGAACTGTTGTATCACAGCAAACTGTATATAGAAGTTTTAATGAAAAAGGCCTTTATTTTAGAAAGCCAAGAGTATGTGCTTCAGTGTTTTCCCAACAAAAGAGGAATTACTGTAATCACTTTAAAAACATCAGAACTGGAACTAAATGGTTCCATGTTCTCTTTATTGATGGGTCAAGGTTTAGCTTAGCATCTGATTCTAAGCATGTGTACACATGGAGGGAGTCAGGAATGCAAAATCTTCCTTCAAACATTATGGAACATAAATGTTTCGATAATGCAGGTGTAATGCTATGGGGAGGAATAATGATCGATTGACATATGCCCCTGCACATTTTCAGCAGCAAATATCTGTGACTGCCCAGATATATCAAGATGAGGCCTTAGAACCGTAAATAAGACTTTTTAGAAGCATATAAGGATCTGAATTTTTATTTCTGGATGATGATGCTTGTCCACAACAAGCAAACCTCATTGACGAATTGCTTAAAAGGAAAGATATTGAGCGAATACTCTGGCCAGCAAAGTCTCTTGATCTTAACCTGATAGAGAACTTTTGGGCACCCCAAAATATAGACTAACCAAAATAGGTATTAACTGTTTATGTTAGTAACAAAACTTCATGTGAACAGAAAATTGAAGTAGCTAATCGTGTAGAGTTAAATAATTTATATGCATATTTTCAAAACTATGTTTTGTTGCTTTTAATTCCCATGTTATAGTAAAAAGTCCGAAATCCGGACTCGTCGGGACTTTGCCGATTTCGGATTTTTCTGGATATTAGATCATCAGTTTAAATCTAGTAAGATGGCATGTAGAAATTATAAAATTAAAAGTATGAAATTGAGATTTATGAAATAATGGAGTATTTATGATCTAAAAGGTATCAAAATTTACAACAAAAAGCTTAATATTTATTTGTTTACCTTATTAAACATTTCTTCCAGTGTAAGTTGTTTAAGTTACTTCGTTTTTTGTGCTAATACTTTCTTTTTAATTCTGTAGACAGACATAATCTCTTGTTTAGTTACATTATTGAAATCCTCTAACTGCTGTGTCGAGAATTCACTAACTTGTCAATTGAAACTTTCTTGTTTTCAGTAACTGCTTTGTCACTTTCTTCACTATTGGTAGTGGTATTTTCTGGATCTAGAAGCATACTAAAGATTTCTCTATTCATTAATTGATTGATGATTGAGAACCATTATCATCACAATGAAAAACCTCTTTTATATTATCTTCATTTATAACCTCTTTTCCACATTTCTTTACAAAATCCGTTAAATGGAAAATTTCACCTTTGTTTTGGGATATCCGAAAACCTTTAAAATTAGCGGCTATTATCATCAAATTTAGCTTCCTTCACTATACATATTTGGCTATGCATCATGAGCTTGGCGACTAACGACAAGTTATTCCATTAAATTTTATCTTTCTTCCATCGTGCACTGAGACAATTAAGCTTGAATTGTATTAGTGTTAGTTATTCATTATACTTATGTCTATTTCTTGTACATACTTAAGGCTTATCGGAGTTCTGAATAAATAAATTCCCTCATATATTCAAAATGCGACCCGGTGCAGCCATATGAACCCTGGCACTAGTTCTAGGTTTATGTGAATAACAAGTCAATTATTCTGAATTCAAATAGCCCTAAATGTAATCTTTGGGTCTATGAGTATCATCAACAAAATCTATTTTGTTATCTATTACAAAATCTATTACATGAGTCGTTACTCAAGTTATCATGTTTTGATAAACATGTGGTGATGAAAGGAAAGTATAGTAAATAATGGTTCGCCAGGTATAATGGTTCAAAGTGAAATTAAGAATTGTGACTCTCGGGAGAATCAGGTTTTATTATGCACGGAGGGGGGAATCAAATGTGCATTTGTAAAGCCTACGAGAAAACGTTGTTCGTGGTTTTGAGGTCCAAATTTTAGATCATTCTAGGAAATGGACGTCCAGATTTTGGACTTTGTACTGTATTCGAGGATCAGCTGAACTTTGTATTAGCAATTTAGATACTTGAAAGTAATTAATTTGATATATTTAAAATTTTAAGAAGCTAGAAAACATTTTTTAAATGCTTTCTAGTTTTTATTATGTAAATGAATTGTTCTAATAATAGGCTATATAAATTATGCCATTTAACCCTCTTTTGAGTGAATGGATAAGATTGTTGAGCACTGGTTATTATTTCAGATTGGATTTCTGAGGAGCAGGGTGATTGAGATTTTTTTTCAGATAAAAGTAGTTAATAAACATTATAATAATAATTACATAACCAGGCCATCGTTTTAATTCTTTCAAATAAAAGTAGTTAGTAAAAGTAATTTTCAGATAAAAGTAGTTAGTAAAAATTCTAATAATGATTACATAATCAGGTCATTGTTTTAATTCTTTTCCTTAGTTTCTTCTTGCTCTTTCTTGTATTCCATTTATTTTCTTATTTGTAATATAATTTTATTTAATGCATTTTTTACTGTGTAATTCTTTTTTTAATTTTTACTTGCAGTGTGAAAATGCTGGAGAAAAGTAATAGCATTGAAGAATCTGGCGAGTTGCGTTTTGAGTTATTGGCATCTGTGTTATTTGTTTGGATACTGACTTACTTTGCTCTTCGCAAGACGGATTTTTTTAGAGGGACTACCATCTACATTTTGACTATAGTTTCTTATATACTTCTCTTTAGTATTTTTCTACGAACTGTAGCCCTGGAAGGTGCTAAAAATGGACTCAGACTTCTTTTTCAACCTGATTGGGACCAAATGGTTAGCCCTAGGGTGAGTATAGTATTTTATCCTAACATATTTTAATTTTCTGTATTTCACAAACATTTGAATTAAAGTGAAATTAAAATTTGCTGAAGTGCTTTTAAATTAAAAACCTTACTCACTGTTATACGTGCATGAAGAATGCAAGACAAAATTTTATCCATATATTACAGGGAAGTAAGAAACCTTTACAACCTATCTTAACATCATGCAGATTTGACTGATTGATTTGCTTTCATCATTTTTTTTTCTTTTTGTTATTTCATGATTTAATAAACTGAATATTTTATCTCGTTGTGATAACATTCTCTCGAGCTCTCATACAGTAGTGATCCTCTTTTCTTCTTCTCTCCCAGATTCTTTGTTTTAAAATTCTCTGTTCTATGCTTTTCCTAGTAATGTACCTGTCTAACTTGTTTCATGTCATGTGAAAGAGGACATTGCATTTTAGGATAGAAAGCATCTAAGTATCCAAATATAGTGGACCTTTTCTAAGATGACCATCAACAATTTTAGCCAATTTTGATCTTCTACAAGATTATCATAGAGTAAACATATTGACGATAAAAGTAATAAATTTTAATTTATTTAAAACTCTTGAAGTTTTTTCCACAAAAAGTGAGTGCTTATATTGGTTTATTAATATTATAGTAAAACTATGAATTGATTAGAAACATAAAATTAGAGAATCATATATCAGAAAACAAAACTTAGAAAAAAGAATTATCTAAGGTTATTGAAATGATAAAACTTTATGCTACTTGAACATTGAATTATTATACGTAGTGCAGATACGAAATGAAAAAAATTTTAACAATTTAGAAAATTAATGAATAAGCTTTATAATTTCAGAGTGCTTAATTAATGAATTAATATAATATGATAAATTACATCGAGCTGAGAAAGGATAAAATTAGCAATTAATAATCAATTCATTTTAGTTTCTATAAAACTTATTTTATTGATATTTCAAGAATTAAGCATACAAATCATTAATGCATTAATTCATTAAAAATTTTAGTTTTCTCATTAATTTAGATATTTTGTTGATCTCCTTAAAAATATTTTATAATCTTGTCTGGATTTAGGGTTGGTTGTCTTACAGAATAATATTTATCAGTCTTGAGATTTATTTATGGTTTCAGAAATGCTTTTATGGATATGATTGCCAAAAGACAGTGAACTGCAATTAAAGTTGATGATGTTTTTCTTATTTTCAAGATTAGTGTCATGTGTAACTCATTAATATAAATCTGAAGTCATGAAAAATGACAGACATGACTGTGAGACTGTGAAAACATGACAGACACACTAGTTGGTATTTAATTAAATGATTAAAGTTACCCCCAAAAGCTTTCAGTTTGAAAATAAACAGACCAATTAATTTTACGTTAGACAAATTATTTAAATGCTAGAAAACTTGAATTTTGAGTAATATTCAGGACTGATAATGATGCATTCATTTCTTGTGGAAGAAAAAGAATAACAACATTAATATCTACACAGTTTCACAACATAAAAGAGTAATTCAGGATTGATCACAATACTATAATCTGATTTCCTTAAAAAATAAATAAATTACAAAACAGAAAAATCTTGTTTTTCTCAAGATCAGTTCAATTTACTTCAATGATATGATGAGAGGAGTTATAACAAAAATTGGATTTATCCCATGTGTTGTATCTGTAAGAAGGTCTTCCATGAAGATACCTTCAACTAAGGCAGTTAGTTCTAGTGTGCTCTGCCATTATCAAATTATCCTATCCACAACAAATGCTGTAGAAATAAGTTCAATTAGAGTTGCAAAATTCTCATTATCAAAACGGGATAGTTTTGTAAAGTTGTTTGGTGAGTATTTTGTGGATACTCTATATTTCTGCAGAGTCCTGCGTGAAGGCTTTTTTCCTAAAGCAGATGGCTTTTATGTAATGTGTCATAATTAGTTAAGCAACTGAACTAAAAAAAATCTCATCTGTAAATATATTTACGAAATCACGAGAAGATGGAGCTGCATGCAGCAAAACAGCTTTTAACATTAGTTTTAAAGCCATAAATATTTTGAAGCTGCTGCTCCTGTTAAGATGAAAATAACTTGCCATTTTGTAGTATGATTTCATGCTGTTTGTATTGAATGCAAGATAATAATTTATAATTGAACTGCTTAGGTATAATTACTTGTACTGAAAACAGAAAATTTTGTTTAATTAAATATCATTTAATTAGAATCACATAATTAAAATACGATTTTGATATCACTTTTAATAAAAAATTTTAAAAATTACTTTTCCTCTTAACTATGGTTTTTTGAAAAATGTGCTAAATATCTTTTTAAATATAGACATGCTCTTAGTTTAATATTAGTAGAACATGAGCAAGCAATGAGTATGATTTGTGCTTTTCAGTGTCTCTATAATTTTGAAAACTCATATGAATATGCATGTTTTTTAGTAGCATAAATATTGAACTCAATGAATTTAAATATTCATGCATAAAAAATTTGTTTTTATAGGTGTTACTGTATGCTCTAGCCCAGTCATTCCATTCATTGGGTGTTGTTTTAGGACCAAGCATTGTAATGGGATCCTGCCATAAGCAGCACAACAATATTTTAAGGTGTCAGTTAAGTATTAGTTTCATATAGTGTACTTACAAATATTAGCTTACAAATTTCTAAGTACATTTAAAAAATCCATTCACTATATTAACAGTTGTCTGTTATTGCATTTATTTCTTTTCACATTTGTAATTTTTATTTACTACTGTTGCATATAAAATTGAAACAGAATTTATTCAAATTAAATATAAATCAGTCATCTTGTACATTGTGAGAAAACATTTAGATTTTTTTTCCTCACTTATTTAAAGTTCTCAAAGTTGTAATAATCCTTCTGTTATACAAATTTCCTTCCCGCGGAACAATAAACAGACACTGAATTTAAATGATGGTGCCAACAGATAGTGCAACTATTGCATCATTAAAGCAAAATATTGGTTGTAAGATGGCTGCTGCTCTTAAGAAAATATTATTGGATGGTGAAGTGCGAAGGGAAGGTTTCTGCATCTAAAGCCAACCTTCCCAGCAGTCATTTTCATCATGTTGAGGCATACAATTCTAATGTCTTGGTATAAAAACAAGTTTGGTTTTGATGCATTAAGTTTCCATAAAGGTAGCACAAATATACTACATGAGCAAAGATGTGGTCAGTCAAATAATATGTCCACCATAGGTAGCCAGAATATGCCTTATTGAAGCTATGATTAAGGTGGTTGTCACATTTCACTTAGCAATATTGTTAAGGAACTCAGTGGACAGTTTGCACAGTTATTGTTTATGAGCATCTGACTGACAGAAGATGGGTTCATAGTGGATTCATTAGCAACTTACAGATGATCACAAAGCCAAGTGAATAAGATTGCCTGCCATGCATTTGATGCAACTTAATGAGGAACACATTTTGCTGTTGCTCTGTCAGCTCTTCCAGTTTCTCATCGTATCTTCCAGTCTCCTGGTTGATCACAAAATCTCCTGGTTTTTAATTTTTAGCTTTTATTAAGATAAATGTTTGCAAGCAATGTTCCAGTCCATAAATGAAATTTATTGAATTAATGAAACTTAAATTGTGCAAATTCTATTCTCCCATCCCCAGTGATTTCAATATAATTTTCTTATTAAATTTTGTTTGATCTGAATTGTCTTAATCTTCTGTATGCATTTGTAGAATATTTTATGAAGATTTAACCAGTGTTTAATTAATTAATATTTGTATTTAATTTTTTAAATCAGTATATGATACAATACTAAATCTATTCCAGTATAGTATGTGCATTAATTGCTGATTTAATTTTATCATATTTAAAAGTCCTTTCATGAAGTCCTCTTCATGTTGCTGGTTGATTCCACACTAGAGGAATAACAATGAATGCTAAGAGTTGTTGTGACACTTTGGGGCACTGCATTTAGCAATTTGTAGAAAACTACTAGGACTTATCTCAGGAGGTGTCATGTAGCTGCACAGCAATGCCTGACCACAAGCAGTCACTTATATTTCTGCTTTGTTGCAGAACTTTCACTGGAAAGTGATGGAATATTTTCCTTGTATCCCAAATCTTGCATCCATTCATTTTTTATCCCTTCAGACCTTTGAAAAAACATTTCAGGGGCATGTGATTTGCAACTTGTATAGACATTCAATAAAAATGATACTGCAACATATAATTGTCGTGATAATAATAAATATAATAAGTTGTCGTGATATGGCTTCATTGACTTGATGTTGGTTCCTCTTGTGTCGGCATGTATGTTTTGATATATCATTTGAACAAATGTTTGTACAAACATGGTTACTATGCAGAAAAGTAATATTTAATTTTGCTTTACTACTCTGCATTCAATAATCTGGCTGTGAAATAGAGTTTGTCTCTAAGATTTGTGAAATTACTTTTAAATTCTATTTATATAGTTGTCTATTATATTTCATTTATGTTGTATATAACTAGAATTAAATTTAAATTTATATGTGAAAGGGTTTAATTTTTTATGCTGAAAGAATACATTTATAATACAGTTGAATATTGTTAATGTGACTTTTGATATAATGGCTCACAAGAAAGTATTGTATTATTTCTGTAAGCTCATCTTCCACTCAATAGAACTACCATTTGACACAGTATTCTTTTCTCTTATATTGCAATTTACATAAAAGTATAAATTTTATTTAATTTTAGTATTTTATGGCATGTATATTTAATCATTTAATCATAACTCTGTAAACGTCATGCTATTTTTTTAAAAGTTTAAAAATATTAGCTTTAAGTACTTATAGAGAGCAGTTACATTAAAACTCTGAATATAATGTTAACTAGTTCTACTTTAATTTAACGAAAATTTGTAGAAATAGAAAACTGCAGCCAAAATATTATGGAAATAAAACATTTCCTCAAATTATATGTTGCAGTATCATTTTTAATCCTCCTTTCTTTCCTTAATTATTTAATATAAGGATTTTTATAATTAAATTTTACAAAAATAGGATATTAAAATTCCAGAAATTCTTCAGTACTGCACACATCCTGATTATAAGTTTTAAGAAACTGTCATAAAATCACATCAGTTTGTGATCCTTAGAAGCTGTTAAATCCTTTGATTAGTATAAATGTAAGAAAAATCTGATTCCCTAGTGGTAAATACCAGATGCTTCACAAATAGAAATTTGCCAGTTTAGTCTTTTAACCCTCTCACTGTGTAGCTTTTTATTTTAATCAAAATAAGTTCAAAAATTGCATGTTTTTTTTAATTACATATTTCAAATCTACTTATAATTTAGAGTTAAAATATACAGAAATTTTCTGTAAAAGAGCTTTTTTTCAATATAGAATTAGATAATAGAAAAAGATTGTCAGAATACTGAAATTGAAGAATAATGATATGAAAGGAAAATTTTGAAAATTAATTTTGGTTAAATTATGATTTATTTTATAAAATACAAAGGTAAAACATATGCTAATGAAAATATTTGCATAATGTAATATTTTGTGGTACTGTTCCGTTTTGAGGACCGTAAAAGAAATTGCAGTGAAAATGTATGCGCAAAAGCGCCAAATCTAGCAAACGCCCCCATTTAACAGCGTGCCAAATCTAGTGTACGCGCTGATTTCAGTACGGCAGATTGCATAGTATGGCAGATTGCATAAGTTTATATAGTTCTATATTTCTTAAGACGGCATTGAAATACTAGTTTAATTTTAAAATCATTTTTTGATTTTAAATCCTTTTTTGATAGCCTATGGATTTAAGAATTTGGGAATATTGTCCATGACGAAAAGTCTGGAATAGAATTTTAGGTAAAGTGCAGAATCCCCAACTTCTTGATGCGTTTTTAAGAATTGCACATACTCGGTATCCATGTACACATCGACCTATTTTCACTCAAAAAAAAAAATCTCAGAATTGCACAAAAATGGCATTGCGCACACCCTTGACTTTATCTATGTACAAATCGACCTATTTTCACTTAAAAAGTAAAAGAAAATTGACAAAAATCCAATTGTTTTTACCCTTGTAAAAAGCGGCAAACAAATAAGTGGGCGATTCTGCACTTTACCGAGAATTTTTTCAAGGAAAAAGCATCATTCATTATAGAAAATTAAGTCTGAACAAGCAACAGGATGAAATAAATAATAATAAAGTATTATATGAAATTAACGTTTCATTTAAATTAAAACATCAATCTTAGATAGTTATTTACTATTATACTTCCTTTCTTCCATTAGGGTTGCCGCAGTTATTTTTGGCAGCAACAATAGTTTAGCGATTTTTTACGGCGCTCAAAACCAAATAGTACCTATTTTACAAATCAATTTTGCACCACTGTTGAACGTTTTCAATAGAAACTGAATTTTCAAATTCATCACTATCTGCTGGGGAATCCGAGAAATTCTCATCAGTTTCGCTATAACTATCTTCAATATACTTGAAATCAGAGTCAGAAATACTATCAGTGTCAGAAATATTGGCAGGAATATAGATTATATCACTTGCTAAACGCTTCCCACCAGACATCTTTGAGCACGCAAAAATGCTACATTATGTATTCTTGTACATTTGGCAGATATGTGGACATCTAACGCCATCTGTTAGCCCACATCTAAATAAACAATTAAACATCACAGAAAAGCTGAAAGGAAACCTCGAACGGGAAAAGAGTAGGTTGCACAATTAAATAAACGGCAAAAATTCATCCCTGGGGAAATCGCGGGTTGTTCAAATTTTGCTACTTTTACATTGTCTGTGGAAATCCTGGGATGTGCAGCGAGAGGGTTAATATTACCTATTTAGAAAAGCAAAGTTCGGTTACAAGATCTAGAAGAAAAATCTCCCTATCCCTTTCTTTTAAGAGTATAAGACTTGTGTTAGGTTAAGTATAAATTTAATTAAATATAAATTAAGTTGTAACTTCCTTACAAACTTAATTTGACTAATTGGAAATCAGGATTGTATAAAATCAAAACAAATTCTTATGTATATGTTCTGATTTTTATACTTATCTATTACTGGTGATAAATTGCAGTGTTTTGCAACTTTATCGAAAACATTCTATGGCAAAATACGTAAGTGTTGTTTATAGTTTTACACATATTACAGTTCATATATGTATTATCATGTATGTTTAATTCTACTCAATTATTTTATGTTTTGTTGTAATTTTTAGTCTTTTAAAAAGTATGGTTTAATCATTAGTATGCAGTCAGGAATGGAAAACGTAGCATTTTATTTTTAAAAGGAAGAGGTAAGACATTTTGAGCCAGAAGAGTATGAATAACATATAGTTTTTGAATATACATTCGAAATAACTAATTATATATTTAAAAGCACATATCATTTATCTGGTTGTCAGATTCATTAAAGTAAAAGAAAATATCTTTTACTTTAATGAATTAATTATTATTAATTGTTATACCTACACACATGCATGCACACAGATTCTTAGAGATGTAAATGCTCAGAAGAATGCATTGCTAAAGGAGTGGATTTCTCAAACTGTGGTTAATAACATTATTGCCAGCATAAAAACACATTGTGATATGTATGCACAAGACAGGGAAGATGACATTCCATATTAAATTCATAATTCTTTTTCTTCTTTCAAAAAAATTCTTTCTGAAAGATATTATTATGATTTTTATTGTTTTATGCTAAAGTTTTAGAGTTTTATATCAAGTTAATTTTTTTTGTTTGTATTTAAGTTTTTTGATGTTATGAGTCATTCCACATAAATTGTGGTTTACTGTTTCTTAGAAACCCTGATTTCATATATATATGTGTGTGTGTGTTTGTATGTATATATTAATTATAAACTGAAATCAGAAACAAGAGTTACATCAAAAAAGAAATTATTAACAAAAATAATAAATAGAAAACAGTAAATAGATATAATATAGTTAATAATAGCTAAAAATTTTTTTAAAAATGTGTGATAAGTTTACAAATTACATTTTGTTATTATTCTATTTATTTGCAATTATTTCATTTTTTTATTGTATAATTATTATAGTTAGCATTATTTTACTTTTTGTTTGCTTATTTTTATATTCTTTTATTTTTGTGTTTGTTCTTTTTATGAGGTGTCAAACAGGTTATAAATAAGAGAGGCTCAATTTATTATATACTTCCTTTTAGCTTAAATCAGAAAATTTAAATCTTTTTAACTACTTTATCTTACTGCAGCTTTATGTACATTAAAGTCAGTTATGCATTGTAATTTGTCTTGCGTGTTTTGTTTTCCATTGTATATATATTTATTTAGTATTTCATATAGTGTTTTATTTGTTCCAGATGTTATCATGCTAAGAGCAATCGATTTTAATTATTCTTACTCTGGCTAAATTGCTATAACTAAAATTTGTTTAGTTATTTTTATGCATTTTTTGAAACTTATGTTAATTAAAAAAATTTTTTGTGACAGTATAATGTTTTAAAATGATTATACCTATTTCAGGGATACAATTGTGCTAACAGTTGTCACTTTATTAACTGTTTTAATGGTTGGATGTATTACCTTTGCCACTATAGGCCACTTAGCATTTAAAACAAATAAGCCATTCTTTGAAGCTTTAAGTGATGGTAAGTGCATGCAGTTCTTACTTATAGTTTATGTGCAACTCAGAAATATATATGTAAGATATTTGATTATGATTATAAGTGCATACTGGTATATTTAAGCATAATTAAAATTGGGTACTTTCCGATTATTCGCACCTCCACCACAAAGTTGTAAACTCATTGGTAATTTTGGAAAGCATTTAGGGATTTGTTGCTAACTTTTGGAGAAATGCCTATTTATTGGTTATCTTTATGTCTGTTTGAATGATGCATCCAGTGTCCGTTATTTTACATTTTTCTTTTTTTCGTATACGACATGAAGACTTTAACTTTTAGCTGTTATTTTCCCCATATGCAACAATCTGTTTTCACTTTTTAAAAAACAATCTCACAACCAACAATCTGTTTTCATTTTAAAAAGAAAATTAGAGAATTGCATAAACTCAGCATTCTGCACAACTTTGGCACCAAAATCTTAAAATGAGAAAGAAAAAGAATTCTGCGATATGAATGCAGAAAGCTAAATCTGAGATTTTGCAAAGATAATGAAAACTGCAACATTAGGTTCACTGCTGCTAAAACACTGAAATTCCCAATCTGCAGTTATATTGGTGAAAATATCTGGAGAAGTAGAAAGCCTTCTGGGAAAATGCTACATGCATCTCTAGATTGCTATGTAAATACCTTAAGGGACATCGTGGGCTGCCAAATAAATTCTTTTTGGCAATGTGGCATTGGCTGATTAATATTTTTTACAGCTTTTCAGCAGGTGTGCTGGTAATCAGAAAATGCCTTAAAATATATATATAAATGGTATATATGGTATTTATTGCCTAATTTTTTTTTAATAAAATACTCTTGCAAAAATTAAGTATTGGATATTTTAAAGAGTGTAAGTTTATGTATGAAATGTGTCCATTATTCGGGAAAATGGCTTGTATACTGTATTTTCTGCGCTGAAATTTGAATGAGAATGTATGCTTGGAATTTATCATTTTCAGCAAAGTTTTTTTTTTTTTTTAATCACTAACCATTTTTTAATAATCAGTTTGAAACAGAAGGAAAAATGTGTGGATAAATTGTGTAAAATATTTTGTACATGAACATGTATAAAGTATTCAATTCAAAAGTGAACTACTTGTTTAACTGTGCACAGTTACATAATTTCTGTGTTGTTCCCAAAGTATGTCTTCTAAATAAATGGTTAAATTAAGAAACATCTGATGAACATATTTATGCATGTGTAGTTGGGTTTATATAAAGATTATAAAAGGCAATTATAGTTCAGTACTTAACTATTTTGTATATATATAAGTTATACAAAAATTTTTTAACTTTGTACAAATAGCAATTTCAGCCATAATTTCTTTTTTTAATTTGTACAAATCCATACTTGTAATTTGCTTGATGAAAACCTTGCTCTGCAATGAACTTTTCAAGACTGAAAATATTTTCTTAAAAATACCAGGGTCATGTTCGTGCAGTTTTCCCAGAAAGCGTTTCCTATAAATCCTCTAATTTTGTGGGACAGTTTTTCAGCAGGCCAAAAATAGCAAAAATTGTTGAGATATATGAAGATTTGAAGATAATACAGATGAAATATTGCAGACAGTAATGATGAAATATTGTTCCAAGATATTGTTTTGATGATAAGCAAAATTAATTTTTGGATTTGGATCAACTTTCTAAATATGGTGGGATTTCTAAAATTTGCTACTACTGCAGAGCTTTATCAGAGAAAACTGACCTTTGATTGCAAGAATGACTTTTGGAAATTATGTTTCCAATGCATCATTGCATTTCGCTTGATTTGTAAGGGGAAAAATTTAATGAAATTGAATGACTAATGACTGAAAGTTTAATGCATGAAAGTTTATTGAAAAAGTTAATGAGTCCATCTAATGTAGCTATATTTTCTGTCAACCTGAAATGCCTTATTAAAGATAATTATAATTTTTCATCTTCTTATTTTTATGTTTCTTGTGTAAAGGCTGAGTGCATAATTTGAAAATCATCTTGTGTTCAAGATTTGAGTGAATTATAGTTGGTTAAAATGCTGTTACTGTGAGTATACAGATGCAGATGTACTTTAAGAACCTTTTGATGAGCATTTTGAATGTGAATTTTCTACGATTTTTTAAAATGGCCTAGTGTGCATTTTCTTCAAATGAGGGTTTATTTATTTATTTAAATTTTTATTGTTATTGCTATTTTTTTAAATTCAATGATTTTATTATTTTATTCAACTTTTGTTTGCACAATAAATTTCAAATTTAGATCATTTTTATATGTGTGTGTATGCTTTTTATTATTTAAGAGTTTATGTATGCTTCAGAATAACTTGCAACATACTCTCGAAGCTTTTATTGATTTTTTTGGCATTACTGCTTTATATATTAAAAAATATATATATTAAATAAAATTGTAAAATTATTTTAATGAAAACAAGTATTGTTAGCACATGTTAGCTTGCATTAAAATAAAAAATAAAATAAGGATTGAATTGTTATTGTGTATGTTAGTGACTATCTAGTAAATAGTTGTCTAGATTTAAGACTGATAAAACTAACTTGATAATTCGTCAAATTTTGCTCATTTTTACTTAGTGATAAAAGTTAAAAGCATAACATTGTCATTAAAAATTTTGAAAGCTTCTGAGATGCTGTACCATTTCTCAAGTTTAATTTGTGATTGGCAACTTTCCTGTCACTTTAATGAAGAGAAATAAATTAAGAATGCCAAATTTTAAATAAATAAATAAATAAAAAATTGCCATTTTGAAAGTGTCTTCTATTTTACAGAATATATTTAGCATGCAGATGTACTATCTGTATTTTTATTTATCCTCCCTTTAAAGCTTCAGTTGTTAACAGCATATCTCTTTCTTACTCTTCACATTTTTGCTACATCCAGCTCTCTAAACTTTGTTAAAAGTTAAAGAAGACAATTGTATCTTTAAATTTTTGTTTTAGATACCTCAACACTTAATAATTTTTATGTTACAGATGTATTCTTATTTTTCAGATTGTTGATAATGCTCAGGAACCATTTATGAAAATGAAAAAAAAAAAATAAATAAATAAATAAATAAATAAATAAATAAAATAAAAATAACTTTTAGAATTTAATATTTTAATGTCTGTTGTAATTTTTTTGTAACTGTACCTTTTTTTTTTTTTTTTTTTTTGGTATTAAGTTATATTAAGTGAACAGCATTATTATGCTAGCTTAGCTTAGCTTGTATGCATTTTTAAAAAAAAATTGTGTTGATTTATAATTATTTTGTAATAATTTTTTTAAGTTTATTATTTTTCTACATTAATTTCTTATTCATTTTTTTCACTTACAGATCCTGGCAATGTTTTTGTTATTTATTCAATTGTGATTGGTTCTATGCCTCTGCCTTCATGCTGGGGTGTACTTTTCTTTATTGTACTTTTGTGTCTGGGTTTAGATTCTGAGGTATATATAATTTTCATTGCTGTATAAAAAATTTTCACGATAAGTATTATTTTAAATACATTGATTATAAAATCAAAGCTGAAATCATAATATAAAGTGGCTAAGTGACCACTTCCATATTTATTTATATTCAATTTTATAGAGTATTTTCATACAAAAGAGGAACATTGAGATGTGTAGAATTGTAGATTGAGGGTAAGGTGATATATATTAAATGTGTTCACTACAAAATTATCTTTGTAGCATAACATGAAATGATAAAAGTGGTGGATGACTCTTTGCAAAGTTTCACGGGTAAAAATATATTTTAGGGTACCCCTTGGCAATTTTTGGCAGTACATGAATACTGAGTTTGTGCAATTCTTTGACTTGTTATTTTGGCTTGCGTAGTGGCGATTTTCCCGCCAAAAGTCGCCCCTACACAAAGCCAAAATAGCAAGACAAAGAATTGCACAAACTTGGTATCCATGTGCACATCGATCTATTTTTCACTTTAAAAAAATCCCAGAATTGCACCAAAATGGCATTGTGCAATCCCTTGACTTTATCCATGTACACATCGACCTATTTTCACTTAAAAAAAATCAGAGAATTGAACAAACTAGGCTTTGCGCATTCCCTTAACTTTGTCCATGTACACATCGAAATATTTTTGCTTAAATTCAAAGAAGCACCAAATTCTACAGTAGAGGCAAACAAAAAAATGCATAATCTCAATAAACTACATTTTAAACCAAACAATAAAATAACATGATAAAATAAAATAACATAAAAACTTACCTTATTTAGAAATTTGTTCGTGTTCAGTCTGTGGCACACAAAATTCCTTAACAGCATCCAAAAACTTCCTAAAAGTATCTGAACTAGAATCCATATACTATTGGAATTGCCACATGAGAGTAAAAAATATCCTATGTATTCCGGACTGTCCGAAAAATGGCTACTAAGCAAACCTTCATTTACACACCAGTCAATAAATGCACTTTTCTGCTTTCCTTTCAAATCATACAGAAACTTCAAATTAATCTTACTACATTCAGCCATTCTACCATCGAAACAATGAAACAAGCAATGCACTTCCTAACCACACATACCACAAAAGCCCTTACAAAACATCCCATGATTCAAAATTTCATGGAATAATGCAAACGATTATACCATAATAGGGTTTCCATAACATTCAACTACTCAGGTTACCATAAATGAAACAACAACTTGGAGATAAACGAAACAACAACTTGGCAATAAATGAAACAACAACTTCGTGATAATACAAGGGGTACCCTAAAGTCAACTCTAACCATTTCATGTATTCATTTAATGCAGAGGTCATCTACAGAAAGAGGTTATTTGAACTGATTGACTTGTTAAATGCCCATATTTAAAAATTGAAACATTGTATGGATCATCATCTAATATGCTGTTTCTAAATATGTCTAAATGTTTTTGAAGGTAAAATAATTGTATTTTATGTTTCCAATGCATCATTTTCCATTGTGTAATTTTTATGTATTGTGGATAAAACTGTATGCTTTACAAGTTCACTGCTGAATGCATGTTTATTTTTACGCTTCTTATAATTTTTAATATGCATCGCTATTTATAATTAAATAATTAATTGTAGAACAGCATTTATCCAAATTAATTGAAGCAGATTTATATTTGATACAATTTTTCAGATATCTCATGGTATCTACTTTCTACAGTTAATTATTTCTATTAGTTATCATAAATTAAATATATATGAAATAAGCAACATAAAATAACTGTGTAACATTAAAAAAGTATGTATTGTACTTTAACATGTTTACAATTACATAATTAATTAATATAAAATAGTAATAATTATCATTTTTTTCTTTTCCCACACAGCACTTAATGAACAGCTATGTTTTGCTATTATTTGATGAGAATTAATTCATTTGGTAGATTAATATTTTTACTCAAAAAAGAAAAAAAAAAAACTTGATACAGTACAGCAAATATTTTTTTAAAACTACATCTATAGTGTTGTATTAAAAGAAAGAAATTATGGGTAATATAATATATTAAATGATATTCCTTTTACATACTGTTGTACAAATCAAAATAATAGCACTTTGATCATTTTCTAAAACTCAGCTTTAATTTTATTATCTATAATTTCAGAAGACAGGAATGAATGTTAAAAAAAATTCAGATCTGATTTTATATAATCTGAGGCAACTGAAATTATCTCCTTTGTAATAAACAGCAATGTTTTTAACTGTGCGTCATTCTCTTCATGTCTGTTAGCTTTGTTTTTCTGTGTAACAGCTATAACCGGATATTTGTATTTTGCTGACTTCTTAAAAATAACGTGTAGTAAAATAAAATAATTAAACACAGTATGCACAGTTAGGTAAACATTCAGTTACTGCAGGGAAATAAATAACAGTAATTTTTAGCTATAACTGTAGTTATGACAAAATGTTAGACAAGAAATGACTACATGCCTAATATTAGCTATATAAATACTGAATAACTTTTATAAAATATGATGCCAGGTAACTCATTTTACACAGTGCATGTTTTGAATGACATAATCCATGAACCCATGTCAGTCATGTTTGGAATAGATTTAATTCAGTATTCTTATTTCTTGTGTTTATGTTGAAATTATTTATTTTTATTCCGAAACATGCTTAACTTGGAATGAAAATGCCTAGGAAGAATGGAATGAAAAAATTTTGATTTTGAAATAACTGAGGATGATTGATTTGGGGATTTATCAATTCAGTATTATTTTTTTCTCTTTTGTTTTGGCTAAGCATGTTTTTCTTGCATACTGTGCAAATATTATGTAGATCTTTTGCTTTTAAATTTCACTTCTTGCTACTGAGATGGGAATGGGCATCGATTTATAATTGTGCTAGAATTTGAAAAAAATTCTGATGTATGTTGAACTGCTTGTGTTTTGTGTTGCTATAAAATATTTATATTTATTTGCAGATTTTAAGATATCAAATTTTGAAATTTTGACATGCTTCAACTTTTCAAACTTATTTAATTAAAATTAGTAAAAAAATAAAGTGTGTTAAAAAGAGGTGTAATAGTTGTTATATATTTTAATAATGTTTATATATTATTAGCTGGCTTGGAGAATTGATATAGGTAAGTTTTTAAAAATTCTTTTAGGCAAAATTAATGTGTTTAGTTCTTTTTTATGTATGTTTTTATATAAAACAATTTAAAGCATATGTATGTAATTTTTTTATATAAGTAGAAATCAGTAATGGTAATTTTTTTAAAATCTGATACAACTGTTTAATAAATTATGCATCCTCTTGTAATGTCAGTCTTCATCTTTCAATTTCTTCTTGCAGATAAAGCTGATGGCAACTTTAATATCAGCATTAAAAGAGGCTTATACATATTATATCAAGCAGAGATTTCAAGGACATTCTATGTTTTTAGCTGTCATTTGTGGATTTTGCTTCTTTGCTTCTATACCATATTTAACTCAGGTAAAATGCCATATATTTTTATTATTTGTTATAATAAATGAGCCAAAATTATTTATTAATTAAAGTGATAGCAAATTATTACTAATTTATATTTCATAGCAACTTAGTTAAATACTGAGAAACCAGTATTTTTGAAGAAAAGTTAGTTACATAAAATTTAATTCAGGTAAAAAGTATTTTTACAATGTCTGTTTATAAAATATGGTTGTGAAATTAATAATTTTGGAGTAAGATGATTGTAAGAGAAGTGATACCTAAATGTTTTACATCTTACTGTTGGTTGTTTTGTATTTTAAATGATAAACACTTATTTTACGTCTAAGCATTTTACTCTGTGAACATAAATTTTATCTTTAAAAAAATAATTAATTTTGCGATTTCTAATTATAGATTAGTTACAAATAATCTCATACTTGAAATGTGCTTTTTTATTCTAATGTTCAGAGTTATGTTGAGGGTGGAAAGAATGAGGTATTTGCCACAAAGCAAAAAATAAGACGGTGTAAAATAATAATATAAATTTAGTATTAATGTAAATGTTATGAAAAAGTATTTTGCAAGAAATGCAGTTTTAAGTAACAGGAAAAAATTATCTATTTATTTAAAGCTTCAGATTTTTAGTACGTGTGCAGAAAGAATAAAAAAAAGCTGAACTTTTAAAAAACTTTTTTTTTTTTTTGCTTTTTTTTATACCAAAGAATAAAAAAGTGGCAGTGTGTATATAAACATTAAACGACTGAATTGTCTGTGAATAATATTGTAATTTAAGTGCAGTTTTTGAAAAGGCCTTTTAAGTTTTAGAGCATACAGCATAAATAAAAATCTCATATGCATATTAAATTTCTTTAAAGCCAGTTCTAATATAAAAGTAGGATACTATTTCGTTTATTAGTAATTTCTGAATTACTGACAGTTTCAAATGCAAATTAATTACAAGCATAAATGCTAGGAAAATAAGGGATTGTGTATTTTCCAGTCTGTGTAAGTTGGTATTTTACTGTATTTCATGAGAATGGACAATTCTCCTTCTCTAAAAAGTGCAAAGCAATCGTAATGTTTTATTACTTCTTCCTCTGTCTTTAGCTATTAGTTTCAAATACTTGAAAATTTCAGATATTTTTCAAATAAGATGTCTAAGTTATTTGAAAACACTTAAAAAAAAAAAGTATTCACTGTCAGCTTAATTGAGTCAACGCAATTTCTAACTTTTTGGCAGAAATAGTACATGAGATTGTTTATGGTTATACTGAAAAATTTTAATTGAAAATATTCAAATATGATAGACTGAATTGTGTTAAAGCTAACAAAGACTAAAGTTGACTCAAGAATGAAAATAATATAAAAATAATACAATAAAAGCTCATCTGTCCAGAACAGTCACAGAGCCAAATTCCAGATAGCTGAACATTTACAGAATGCAATTCATAGTTAGACTAGTAAATGGAGAAAGAAATTTCTGATCCAAAACTTATAAAAACAATCATCTTATTTGTTATCAGTTTGAAAAGCCTACATTTAAAATTATGTAAGATTAAAAAAAATGCATTTCATACACAAAATCTGCTGTATACATTTAAAATTATGTAAGCAATTTTTTAATGAATTTCATACATAAAATCTGATGTAGGCCAATTGAAATTGAAAAACATATGAAATTGAAACATTTTATTTGACTATAAAATGCTGTCGACTATGTAAGTTGAGGGAGATATGCCACCAAACTTGCTTCAGTTATTCTAGTAGAAGCTGGATAATCAATTGCATAAAATATTATTTTGTTATCACACTAAAATTATCTATAAAATGTCTGAAAACTTTTTACTAATATGATATTTAACTTTTGACCAGCTGATTAGAATACACATTAGTAAACGAGATGAAAGCACTTTAATTTCTGTTGGAACTCAACACTTCTTCCAAATTCCACCCTATGCAGTGCCTTGGCCGTATCTCTCTGCCACAAAAATATCCCTCGACAGAACATCTACAACTATCTGTTGTCATAGAAACAAGCCTTAATATATTTTTAAAGGGTTTCTTGATTCATTGTAATTTGCAATCTTTTTGCACTTAATGATGATTTATGACATACATTTTTTTTATTTCTGTTTTAAACAAACTACGTGTTATAATATTGTTTTGTCTTTTCAACACCAACATTTACCGCATCCAATCAAAAAAAAAAAAAAGTATCAATAAAGCTTCCTGACTCATCTCTTCTTTAAATGTGTGAGGCTTATTACTGTAGCTACCACTCCTAAAACACATTCGCGAGAGTAGTGAGGGCAGTAGATGAACTAAATGCCTATTATCAACTTTGGAATCTCTTGTATGTTTCCGTGCCATAGGAACTGCCTACTTTTCTTTGTGTATAGTGGTGGGTATGTGTGTAAAAAATGTCTTCTGAAAGAGAGCCCTGTCTTTGTGTTTTAGAAGTTATCAACAGGATTTTCAGAGCCATATTATATGTGCTTTATTGATGCCTTTACAAGTCTTTTATTTGCTTAACTTTTTTGAAAAGGGTGTTAAAAATAATTAGAAGGTTTTTCTGGATAGTTGGATGTTTTATAGTCGGGATTTTGTTGAAATTAAAAACAACAACTAACAGTAATATTAATACATAAAATGTTTTCTTTTTAATAGTTTTATGTTCTTCCTTTTCATCCATTCAAAAGCTGCGTATGATGCATAATTTTCCTTCGTAGGTTATCAAGGTAAAACATTAATAAAAATGGGGGAAAATATGCAAATAAATATGTATAGTATTTATTTGGTTGTAACATTGAAAAAGATTAATACTCCATTTGTCACTTCTTGTTATTTGCTGTAGTGATGTTTTTAATACATTACACTTTCTTAATGACATCAATCAGGTAATGAAATATCTTTTGTGTAAAACAAAGCATCTGTGAGGTAATTGCAGTATCATTTGCAAAGAAGTTATTTATGGTCAGATGATAATATTTAGCTAGTTTTAAAATTGAGACAATAACCCATGGTAGACTTTAAATAAAACTTTATTGATTTGGAGGATGATCAGACATAGACCTCTTCTGCAGAAGCTTCCTTGCCCTGCTACCCTCAAAGAAAAATAAAATCTACTCATGTGGGGAATTATGATTGTGTTTATATCAAAAGTTATGGGCTTAAATTTACTATTGATAAGTACAAATATATAGCACCATTTATAAAGGAAAATAGTAATGAAATGTGAAATTTTTTTTAAATCTCCCTCCTTCTGAAAAGAAAGATCTTTATCTAACTGCCCTCAAAATCTATGCTAGAATGAAGTGGATCTTTTGCCTAATTTTGAAGTTAACTTCAGTGTGTTTCTCTTCCAATTTGATCTAGGTTTTTGGTCATAATCATATACCAGCAACCAAATGGTAAAGTTGCTGGATATTCATAGTTCAACCTGGGGTTGATTCCAGATAAATGTGAAGGGTATTTTCATGGTTTTTACCATGTGTAACAGGGCTATATGCCAGTTTCTCTTAGACAGTGCTCTATGAACGCATTTCTCCCTTTAAGCAAATAGCCCTCGAATGCTTTGCTGTAATCAAATAAACCAAACCAAATCAATCATAGCTGCTTAAAAATAAATTTCTAAACTATATAATTAGTTAAACTATATTATTAGTTCTAAACTATATTATGACAAAAATGCTTCTAAAACTATATATTATGCACCTTTGCAAAATAATTTATTGTACTTATTTTTAATTAATACAAAGTTGTAGTTTTTAGGCTTAAAATTATAAATTAAAAATTTATCTCACTGTTATCTTTCATTTATAATGTTTCATGTTTTGACTATGACTGTTAAGATTTTAAATTTTTTTAGAGAAATTTTGTATAATTTTTACTGTAAATGAATTATGATGCTATTAATTTTTAAATTGATAAATTCTATCTAGGCTGGAATTTTTTTCTTCCAACTGACTGACCATTATATTGCAGTGATAGCTACAACTGTAGTAGCACTCTTTGAAATTTGCACTTTAAGTTGGCTATATGGTATAGTAAAATTATTTTTAGTTATTATTTATGTTTTAAGATAGTTGGAATGACTGCTTAAATTGACTATTGAAAAATTTATCTGTATAAAGATGAATTATGTCCTCCTCCCTGAAGCTTTAAATGAATCAGTATTTAGTTTTCATTAGATAAATATGGCCTGTTTTAAATAAACTGAATATGCCTTTTTAGTACCTTCTGATTATCTGCACTGCAATTTAAGACCCCCTTTTTTTTTTTTTTTTTTTTTTTTTATGTGTGTGAGATTACGGCAAAGCCTCGAGAGCTATCTGCATAAGGGGAGGGATGCCTTCATGGAGGACTTTCTAAGGGAAACTAGCTCGTATACAAGTTACACATGGGGAAAACCATGAAAACACCCATGCAGCCAGCCTGTTCGGGGGATTCGAACCTTGGACCGAACTACCAGTGTTTAGCGACTTTACCGCTCGGCAACTGGTGGGCCCCTGCAATTTAAGTATTCTGTTAAACTGCCATACTTTTGGCATATTTTCAAGTAAATATTTATTAACTACACAGGTGTGTATCACATAGGCATTTGTGTGCATGTGGATTTATACATTTTATATTTAACTATCATTTTGCTAAGCAGTAGCCACTGGTCGTAAAATGTAGTTATAGGCAATACAAATTTTAATTTTTTTCATAAAATTTCATGTTTCTAAAAAAAGCGCTTATTTTCTTATTATTTATCATATAAAGAGTGCTTATGAGCTGTGAGGATTTTTTTTATTAATTCACTAAGTTGCCAATGTGACGGGAACGTCTTGTAGAGATGCAGATAATCAGAAAGTACAGCCTATGTTGATTAAAAATTGTATTGAGGAATGTGTTTTGATTTTTTTTGATGTGTAATAATGTATGATAATTTATTGCCAGAAATGTTAGTTAAGGACCTTAGATTATTAGTTTATCTTTATAAAAGATTGTATAATGCTTACTCGAAAAAGATATGCATTGTTTCTAAAATTAAGTCATAGGTAATAAGAGAAAATCCGCTCATGCAAAAATCAATTGCAAAGTCTTTAAACACATCTATAGCAACAATAAATAAAACAATAATATACAACAAAAAAGCTAACAAACAAAATGTTCAGCTTCCGCCGAAGCATATGGCCGCCGAAACAATTTGTAGAAACCTGTATGAAAACTTTTCAGCAGGTAAAGGGAAATACCTTGTGACCCTGGATGAAGCATGGGTTTGACTAAATGGCTGCAACAAAAAAGGTCCACTTATTGTTGAAAATAAGGGAAAAAAGTGTACAAACCTGGTTCCATTCATGTAAAGAAAGTTTCACTAAGGGGTTTATGATTGTCGCAAGTTTCTCTTACATAGGAAATTAAGAAGAATGGGAAAAAATGTTAAAATCAATTCGATGTACTATCAAGAGAAAGTTTTACATCCAATGTTTATAGAAGAAATTCCGTTTCTTTAAACCAGTGACCCTGAAAAAGTGAAATGCCATTAACACATTACCGACCGGTAGCCTATCAATTGGCTTATCGCCAACGCCTGCCGACTGATAGCCTATTAATCGGCTTTTCATCACCATCTACCGACCAATCGCCTATTAATCGGCTTTTTTTAGGCAACGCCTGCCGGCCGACCGATACCCTATTAATCGGCTTTTTCACCAACGCCTATCGATCGATAGCTTATTAATCGCTTTTTCCTCGGGGCTACCTAAAAATAGACTGTCAGTCGGTAGCCATAACGATAAATAATTGCCATTTGCTATATCATTTGCATTTTATTATTAGTATTGAGGTACATTGATCACTTGCGTTAAGTGCGGTGCTTCGTAAACTTTCACATTTTCACACTGTTTTTAAAAAAAATTACCGTTCACGATGAGCGAAAAAAATGGTACTGGAGAGTTTTATTTAGACGATTTATCAGATTGTCCTGACAGTTATTTAGAACATGAAGAATCTGCGGCTGAGCGGCTGGTCGGACATGCGTATGCTGTTGAACCACTAGCGGTCAGTAAAGTGTTAATACAAAGCAACAAGTCATACTTTGAAATACTACATTCCTTGAAAAAATGAAGACTGATACAGGTATTGCCTTCAGTACAGACTGTCTGTAAAAATTAATCTTATTCAGGAATTCGAAAAAAAAATAACAATCATTTATATGCTTTAATGTTACAATTCCAAACTTTAAAATCATAGAATAGCGCAAAGGCAGCTTTTCAGCTGGTGTAATAGTGTATAGTCAGCTTTTTATTTGGAGATGCACTATTATACAAACTACCATAAACTGTTTTGTTTACATTTTAGGTTGTGACACTTAAAAGTACCATTGTAGCTTGTTTTATCTACAGTTATGTTATTGTCTATGTCTATATACATAAGGACTGTTAGAAACCAAATGGTTCAAGTTAGGGAATACAGACAGTTTTGCCCCACTTCCTATTTTTCAGTGGTGAAACTAGTTGAATGCATGGGCATTTGTACTGTTTTTCTCATGTACAGGAAAATACCCTGTACACGAGAAACAGTACAAATGCCCATGCATTCAACAGGGTTTGCTGTTTCATGTACAGAGTTCAAGTTGGATAATACAGACAGGTTTGTCCCACTTCGCATTTTTCAGTGGTGAAACTAGTTGAATGCATGGGCATTTGTACTGTTTTTCTCGTGTACAGGGTATTTTCCTGATGTCCTTTACTGAAACAGCTGCCTTAAATATACATTATTCATTTTGACAAAGTATCCACAAAGGCATTTCTTCCCCTTAGGCAGATTGTTTTAGTATGCTTTGCTACAGCTCAATCATCCAATCCTTTTGGAGAAGCATTTTTAACTTAGGTGTAACATATTTTAATAGTTTTCTGTTTAGTAGCATAATTTAATTTTGATCAATTAGTGTACGAAATGCAAATAACTATATATAATTCTGTTTCATGTTTAGGAGCTTCAAATCTCTCTTCATGCATTCAACAAATGACTGCCAAAACACCTTCATATTTTTACCAATTCTCTTGGATGATATTGAGCCCTGTGACTATATTGGTAAGAATTTTACACACTATTTTTTAAGAAATTCATTTATTTCCACAGCATCACTAAACTTTTCCTGTTAATTTTTTAATAGCATATCATTAAAGAAAGGAATAATTTTAGAAATTATTTTTTTAATTCAATCTTTTACCTGAAGGAGAAGTACCACCAATTTAAATTCCTGGTTTCCTTTTTCTCTTAAGTATATGCTATTCTTAAAGTGAAACCCTCTAAAAATTACCCTGATATTTTATCTATCTGAAAACTTTTTGTTTTTAAACACTGTTAAACAAATCATATGTGAAAGAGAGTAATTTCATTATACATACATGTTAAATTTATCTTAAATGAAATTTCAAAATCTTGTCTTTAGTTGCTTAACAGAATTCATAATTAAGTATTATTCAAGAAAATATATTCCCCATATCAAATTTATTTCTCATGTGTTACTAAAAGCAGATTACCGTATTTGATGGCATATAAGACGCACTTTTTTTCCTAAATTTGGTCTCAAAAAAAGTTACCTGCATTTATACGTGAAGGACACAGGTTAACTTTCAATACTGAATGCTATTTTTAGCCCGGATAAAGGTCTAGACACACATAACTTTTTCTACATCTACATATGTGTGGCCTTCTAAATAAGAGTGCGTCTTGTATGCCGTCAAATACGGTATTTTATATAATATTCAAAATTATGTTACATAAAGAATTAAAAGTCAACTATTTTGCTTCAAGCTAAAAATTCTAAATGTTTATTATTATTATGTTAAAATATTTACATTATAAAAGCAATCCACTTTTAAGCTTGCTGGTATTTAATATAGGATTTATAATTAAATTATCAAGAGATATTCTCGTGTATGACAAAAGCACAAATTGAAAATTACTTAATCTTTGCATAAAATGGAAGAAAATTAGATGTCCACCATGAAGACATTCTTTCCCTGAGTCACATAGCCATTGAGTTCTTTATTGTAATCTAAATCAGCATTTCTAATTTTTTTTAACAAGTAGGGACCATTTTTATAAATTAGAATGTTCTGTGGATCACCTCGTTTTTATCATTTTTGAAAGCAATTTTTAGCATATGTTGCTACCATATTTTTTTATTACAATTAATTAAATTAATCTTATACTAATATTAATAGAAGAAATGTATGTTTTTTAAGAATTCAAGGCTATTAAAATTTAGTAATCTTTAATCTAAGACACAATAACACGCCGAATAAATACTAATTTCAGAAGTCAAAAAACAAAAATCAGCGTTACACTACAAAATTTTCACAGGACTAGTCTCGATGGTTCTACCGAACCATCATCTTCAGCTGCAAAACCGCAAAATGAACCATCGAGACTAGTCCTGTGAAAATTTTGTAGGTGTAACGCTGATTTTTGTTGTTTGACTTCTGAATTAATCTTTATCTCTCTAAATAAAAATTGCCACTCACACTCACGAGATGGACTTGCACATTTTTTTTTTAGGCCTGCATGTATATTGATAAGGAATATTGAACTCAGTGTTTTATATCTCTTTTTTGTTGGTAAAAGTCTGTAGGTAAGGAAACTAATAATAAATTTCATAAAATGTCAGTCTTGAAATAAAAAGTGATGATTGCTACATGCAATTTTTGAAATTATCAGTTTTCCAGTTGTGTCACAGTTAATTTGAATTATATTAGCCCAAAGGCTATTAGTCTCAAAATGGCATTTTGCATCGTTTCACTTTCTGCATTAGTTCACATTTCAAACTACTGTCACCAAATATTATCACCATGTATTATATTTAAAGAAACTAAATAATGAAGAATTTACATGAATTTTTCTCACATTATGAAAAAACAACGGTACCTAGAGCCATCAAATTTTGAATAACGTAGTCCTCAAACTCAACATAGGCACTTGGAAGCCTGAATTTTGAATGTGTTTTATCTACTTAAAATTTTGTAAAACTTTGATGAATTTTTTTTATTAACACACTCAATGATTTCAAAGTGAGCAATGTCAGCATTGTACAGAAAAAACATTTTTATCTCCAGCATGCAAGACTGTATATCAGAAATTCTAAAGATATGCTGTTTTTAAATATTTTGTGATATTGCTATTGAATTTTATGTGGTTTAAGTCCAAAGAACATGGTATTTAATAAATAACACACAAAAAGGTTAAAAAATGCCCTTTGGGGTGTAATATAAAACATGAAAGCTTTTTTTTTTTTTTTTTTTTTTTTTTTTTTTTTTTTTTTTTGTGTGTGTGTGTGTGTCTTTTCTGAAAATCTAGGAGGACTAGAAGGGCAAATCCTTCTAGATTTCTAATTTAACCATGGCATGGCTAATTTTAACCATGATCACTTGTGGTTCATGGACCACAGATTGATTGAGAAACGCTGATCTAAGTAATCCAACCAAATCCATGTAAGAAGTAAATCTAGTAATTGATATAGTATTATTACTATTTTCTGGATTACTGCTTTAATACATTTTCTTTTATGTTATCAAATTCTTAAAGTGAAACATAACTGAACAAACACAGAATATTTTTATCATTTGTGTATGTCATAGTGTGTACATATATCATTATTTTAAAAAATATGTAATAAATACTTAAGATTATATGTGCATTTCATCATTAATTATTGTTTTGAAAATTAAACAAGATTCTAGCTAATTGCTAACCTTATAGTTGAAATCATAAAACATAAGTAGCTTTGTTTTGTATTTGACAAAAGGAGTTCACTAGCCTATGCAACATATATACGATTCAAATTCGATTAGAAAGTCCTCCACAGAACCATTGATCATTTTATAATAATTAATATTTAACCAAATTAAGGCTTCTATTACCAACAGGAAATGTTTTTTTTTTTATTTCTACATGAATTTATTTCACTGTAGAAAGTCATTTATAAAATATCCTTCTCTTATGGACATACTTTTTAAATGCTTTCTCATAAATCATTAATTAGTTATTGCTTATCAGTTATGCTTAAGTATGAAACTGCTTAAAGTATGAAATTTTAAAGCTTTTAAGGTGTGGCATATGAAATAGATTGAAAGGTCGTTTGTTTAGAAGAATAATTCACTCATAATAAAAAGTGTTATCTTAACATAGAGGTTTGTTAAAATTTTATTTATGTATGTACTTCCATGCATTTAAAAAATAGATAAGGTATAAATAGAAGTACTATTTTCTGTGCACATAGAAATAATTGTAGTAATATGAATTTGTAATTAAATGCTTTTTCCCATAGACGGTATTAGGTTATGGTTGTATTAAGATGAGTGGTTCTGTCATTAGAAAAGGTTATGACTATCCTGATTGGGCCCACATATTGGGATGGGTTTTATTTGGACTTACTTTATGTTGGATTCCATTCCTTGCCATAGCAGCTTATAGAAAAGCTCCAAAATCAAGTATTATGCAGGTATATTTAGAATTCATCTATTTAATTAAGAATCAATGATTTTTAAGTATACAGTTTACCAAACACCTCTTTATAAATCAACATTTGAATTAACTTAAAACAAAATTGGCATTACAGTAGAACAAGTTCACCTACATTCAAAATACATACTTACACAAGGTGTTACATGACTTTTATAATTAACTACAGTAAAAGTTGTATGCTGCAATAAAATACAGTCAACTATACCTATCCAGTATAAATGTAATATTAAAAATTTATGACTGAGTATTCGTATCACATATTTTATTGAACAATATCATTAACTATTTTAATTGCATTGTTAATTAAAACAGTCATTTTACGGAATCTTCAAAAAGTAGACAAGTTATGTGTACAATAGCTTAAAAAAATTCATTAATAACAAATTTGAGTATAGAAGCAAGATAATTCTGATGTAAAAGTTACCAAATTTTATTTTTTAAAATTTATTTGATATATAGAATCTGCTCTATTTGAATACTTATAAAAATTATTCAAATCTGGTTTCAAAACAAACAACTCCTATTGCAAATAGAACAACAGTTTAAAGAAATTCCATAAAATTACTTAAAAAAATTTTAATGGAATATTTGTTTACTATAGAAATTATAGCAATTTAGTCTATTACTGATTGCTTCCATAATATGATTTGAGGTACCAGTCCTTATTTTTTATATTAGTGATATTGCACTGAAAATGCATATAATGGAGATATAACTTAATTATCAAGTCTGGATTAAGTTCCTGATATTTTATATCATATTAGGAAAATGAGTGGCAGCATTAGCTTGTTTGAGATTTATTCCAGTATCAGTAAGATTTGTTTCCAGCACTCAAATAGTTTTTTTAATTTCAAGAAAAACCTTGCTCTTTATGCTGTTTGTTCCTGTTATGCAATTCGAGATTTTCAGGTGAATTTTACAGTGTTAGTACATTTGGATGTTAACTTTGAAATAAATGTATCTAATGATAGCAGTGACAAAACTTGATTGTAGCCCTAATAGAGAGGAATGAAATTTTGCATGTTGTAATTAGTATCCTATATTTATAAAAATTTCCAAACCAATAAGAATACACTCAAAAGTCGTTAATTCCGACACCCATAATCCGGACCTCAAGCTACAAACTTTCTGCGCATGCGTCAGCAAATATGCGCGCACACGTTTACACATGCACGTTTAATGTATAACGGACAGTATAAGCTAAGCTAAAATTATCTAAAATCAGTTAATGTTGCAGATTGCGTTGTTTCTTAATCTTGAAATTGGATCCGGCTTATTATTTTTTGCAGACTGTTAGAGCAATTTTATAAAAGTAAGCTTGAACTTTTGATTATGTCAAATAGAATTTCTGATATATATTTACTAATGTGTAAAGGATCTACAAAGCGAAAGTATGTGTCAAAGTCCATTAAACAAGAAGTGGAATTGCTGCAAAAAATGGATAAAGGCATATCCTTTGTTTCTGTAACCATTCCGAAATCTGTTTATCAATTTTACGCTGCTCTGTGGCGGAGGGGGGGGGGGACGCCGCAGCGCACAATGAATTGGAAGTTGATCTGTCAGCACTATCCTTATCTTCAGGGCAGATGTCTTTATTTTATTTGGCTTAAAATTCCTTACTAAATGTAGTGTTTCATCTCGATATACTCCGTCTTTGATATGATTTAAATCAAATTCCTCGTCATTATAATTCGCTTCCAATAGCGAAGAAAGTGACATAGGTTATTGAAAACGAAAAAATTTCAATTGACAAATTAGTCGGTATTCTCGACACAGCAATTATAGGACTTGAACAGCGGAACTTTGTAACTGAACAAGAAATTATGTCTGTTTATAGAATTAAAAAGAAAGTATTATCACATAAAACGAAGCAACTTAAACAACTTACATTGAAGGAAATGTTGAATAAAGTAAAATAAATATTAAGCTTTTTTTTGTAAATTTTGATACCAAAAGTTTCGCATATTTTTAATTTTATAATTTCTGCATGCCATCTTACCAGATTTAAAGTGATGATCTATAATCCGGAATCGCCGAAGTCCCGATGAGTCCGGATTAGCGACTTTTGACTGTAATATAAATTAAGATACTTTTACATCATAATATACACAAGACGAATTTAAAAAGTAATTTACAACTGGTTATTGAAAAGCAAAAAAATGAAAATTGGTGCACTATGACATGCAATTGATAGGTGCACTACAACATAGTTTTCATTATTCAGTCTATGTAAACATTTGTCTGAATGTTTAAGTACATGGTTAAGATTCTCTGATGATTTACTCATGGATGAACTACATACACCTGCTCATTATTGGCAGGAATTATCCACCTAGACGAATTCTTGTAGTTTCTGAAACTGTCACCCTCCTATTGCTGTGAGCCCCACCAGTGGCAGAATGCTTATGACAGCTGAATTCTGGGAATTTGATTCCATATTAGGGTAACAAACAGGCTGGCTACATGATTGATTTCAAGGATTTTCCCCATGTGCAATATGAATACCACAAATTAGGTACCTTTCGAAAGTCCACCATAAAGTAACCATCTCTAACCCTTTCAAGACACGTACCTCATTCACCAAAGTGTTTCTTGGGACAGCTTGCTAACAGGATGCACTGTCTTTGTGGAGATGGGCAATGCATGCTGTGAAACCTAGCTTGGCTTAAATTAAATTCACGGTCCAATTGATCTAATTTTTGGCACATTATGAGACGAATATTCAAATTTTAGCTTATTATTAGACAAATATTCATGTAATACATTATAGATGTAAGTTATTGCAATTAATTTAAAAACTTTTTCATTATATTTTCTTTAAAATTTCTATAAAATAATATAATACAACTTTTGATTTTCTTATAATAAATATGTATGAAAAAATATACAAACAATCAAGACCTTTTTATTAATAGAAATATCTTTCATAAATAGACCAGCATGAAAACAAAAAGGAAGCAGTATTTCAAAAAGTCATTAGGTTTTTTGGTTTATTCCCAACAAAATAATTACATCAAAAAACACTTTCATTTGCTCTGGATGCGAAACTTTTGGTTTCAAACTTTGATGACCCCAATATGCCTAACCTGTCTGGTGTTTTTGCTCAGTAATAAGAAATATATAGAAATTAACACTGGCACAGTTTTATCACAGTTAGTAACTTCTTCACAATCAGAACAATCCGTTGCTTGTTGTTGGAAATGTAAAAGCTTGTTATTGTAAATTAAAAAACTTACGTTTATCTAAGATTGCTAAATGCAATAATTTGTTGAATGTATATATTTATATAATTAAAAGTGTTCTTAAACAGTTAAATATATGAAAAACTAATAACATTTTCCTTTTTAGACAATCACAAAAGACACATTTGTAAAGAATATATGAATTGTGAAAAAATTTGATATATCAATTATGAACATAAAATTTTGATTATTTGACCAATTATGAACATAAAATCATGATACAAAATTCAGTACAGCTTTTTCTAAAGATGGAATTCACGAAATGAATAATATATAATTAATCTCAAGATTTATTTTTAATGGGCTCTTATTTCACATATATAAAAAACACAAAATCTCAATACGAGATGGTTAAATGAAGGTAATTAAATCACAAATCTACCAAATTATTTTTTTTATTTCATGTGAAATAAAAAAATAGCTTCATTCATTTCTGATTCATGAATAAAAATAGATTAATACCTGATAACAGTAGGAAGGATGAATTTCACTAGTTTTAAAATCTAATTTCAATTATGACCTATATTTTAAATTACTAAAAAGAAACTAAAAATTTATATAACAAATCGTTTTATTGTTTATGTATGGATGTTTTAAGACAAACCTTTTGTAGAATTTGTGAATGAAATTATTTATTTATATTTTTATAAAATAGTGTACAATCATCATCAAATTTAATATAATTCTGTTTCTTTTTTCAGAGATTAAAGACCACTATTCAGCCTAGAATTCGAAGTCATTCTGAAGCAATGTGGCAAACCAAACCAGTGATCATATTAAATGGTTCAACTGTTACTGCTTCAGAATTTCCAGATTATAAGCTTCCTGAGCTACCAACAGTACCTAATGCAGTACAATCATATGTGGATAAACATTCATCAATGACTCAGAATGCTGAGTCAGCATTTTAGCTGTATTATATTTTGTAATATTTTATTGGTGCATTTTAAGCCTCAACTTTTTTACATTTAGTCATTACTAGAGTCTAACTTTTTATTTTAATGCATTGTTGTGTATAATTAGTTTAGTTTAAAACATAAGATTCAACTTATTTAAAAGTGTAGTATTTAGTGCCAAAAGTTCATTAAGATAAATAAGTGGCATAATATTTTCATCACATACGAACATGAAGTATAATATTTTGTTTAGACGTGGCTGCCTGTTCATAGTATACAAAACATACAAATACTTGTTTTAATATTTTTTTTTATTTCAAAGTTTTACAAAATAAATCAGCACAAAAATTCATATCTAAATTATCTATATAAAGCTATGATGCCAATATACTATTTGGTTTATGAATTCAGTATTATATACAATCTTTAAAATTTATAACAAAACAAAACAAAAAAAAAAAAAAAAAAAACCTGTGATAACCTTTGTAAAATTTATTTAATATATATGTATATGTCAAAAGATCTTGCAAATAAAAGATATATTATTGTGTAAAAGAAAAGTGGAATGATAAAAAAATCAAAATGCATTACTTTAATAATTTAACTGATATTTAAAAATTATTAAAAAGCATCAACTAAAAAATCAGATCCAGAATATCACAGTTCATGATCAGCTACACTTTGTCTCAGATACTCATCATAAAGCTGCCTCTGAAAAGCGAAAATAAAATATTTAGCATACATTTAATTACATGCTTTCTACCTAGCAATAATAATCTCCAGATTAAAATCTGGAATCTAACAAAAAATTTACATGTAAAATTTTTGAAATACAATAATTAATGCATCTATTTACTTACTATTATTCTTAATCTACTAAGAATGAAAGGGGTTTCTAACTTTTTAGGCAGCAAGTGTATTATTTTTCTCAATTTTCAGGAAATTAGTTAAAAAAAGGAGGGAAGAGGAATACACAACTAAACACAGCATAGCTGCCAATCTTGAAATATAAAAAACCTGAGAGTTTTCAGAAAGTTTCTGTGCTGCATGGTAACACCATCCCTCCCCCCCCCAAAAAAAACATACTAAACTAACTCTAACTCACTAACTTCATTATGGCATCATTCAGATGTAAAAATGCATCAATATTTAATTTGATTTTATAATTTTCTTAACACTTTTTATATTGAGGAAATCCTAAGTATGGAGAAAAGCTTTCACTAATCAAAGTACTTTTAAAATACAATAAAAATGAAATTATGTGAACTTATAAATACCATTACTGATGTTAAATAACATTGAATACATTGGTCTAACAATCTTCATAAAATTTCTAACAGATGCCTGCTATAGAATTAAGACAATTCATGTAAGAAAAATTATGTCGAAAATCAGTAGGAGTGTAGAGATGGAACTTGTACAACTTAATTAATTGCTAGGAAATACAGGGTGAGCCAAAAGTTCATTAAAACTTTAAAAATTCATTTTAAAAAAAAGAAGTAATTATGATAAAAAAGTGCAGTTTGCAAGAAAGGGCTCACAAGGAAGTAAAATTTTTAGTTAAAAATGTCACCAGTAGAGAGCACTGACATACAAAAGATTCAGCAGAATTATGCAAATTATTCTCGCACTACAAGACCACATGAAACATTTACTTCTCATTCACTTTCAGAATGTTATCATTACCCGAGTGAGCACTGTTGGTGAAGTTGTTCTATCTAAACGGAGAGTTAGCAACTGTTGTGTTGCGAAAATTTTGCACGCCGAAAAGACTAAGATGAAGAATGGCCCCATATTGCATTCTGGAATACTGAACTGAATATAACGGTTCGAAGATTGGAGGATCGGCCACAAAGTGCAAGACCCTCATTGGCAGAGGTCTGAATTATTGCATGGGAAACCACTATAAATGACATAGCGGTGGAATCATCCATCGCGAGTGACAGTGCTCGCGAAGCTGGAAGGATACTGGATATGCCTCACTCTATTCGATGTATCCTCCAAAGGAATTTGCATCTCTATCAATACAAATTGAAGTCACTGCACGAGTTACAACCGGGAGACACAGTTATGGGGGAATTATTTGTTGAGTGGGTTATGGCAAGAATGAAAAGCAACCCTCAGTGATTGTTCAATGTGTTCTGGACAGATGAAGAATACTTCACATTACACAGGAATTTCAACAACCAGAACACTAGTATATGGCCGATGTCAAATCCTCGTGAATACACAACAAAATCATTGATCCAGCCAAGCTGACAGTCTGGTGGTGTGTGGCTTCACCTCATCTTTCATTGTCGAATCATTCTTCTGTGAAGAACCATGTCCTGTACCTAGCTGGAAAATGAGCACAGTAACTGCTGAGTGCTATCTCACACTTTTGCGTGACACAGTCATGCCCGCATTAAACCAAAAAGGTGTGGTAGCTGTAATAATGGTAAACCGCCACATTATGCCAGTCTCCAGTAAAATAATTTCTACCGAGTACCTTTAGTGAAAATAGTCATCATTCGAGGTTGCAAGATCGTATGGCTTTCACAATCACTCGCCCTCACTCTGGTCAATTTCTGGTTGTGGGGCTATTTGAAATCACTTGTGTACTGTTCATCCCCTTCAACACTAGGCCAAACTCAAAGATTCTACTTGTCGTGAGGTCTCTACAATCCTGTTCATTGTGTTTCTGGTCATCAGCAGCCTCTACCAGTGAGATTTTAAACTAAAAAATTTTTTGCTGCTAAAAAAAATCAGACTTCCTTGTGAACCCTTTCTTGCAAACCACAAGATCTGCAACCTTTTTATCAGATTTCTTCTTGTTTATGAAGTTTTAACGAACTTTTGGCTCACCCTATATTTTCCGACAGAAAATATAATGATAGCATAGTTTATTTTCAGACTGAACAAGTTTTATTCAGAGATAATAGGCAAAGACTTTTTTTTTTTTTTTCAGTTATAAATGACATTTATAATTTAAAAGACTTTAATCCCCAAGTACCAATAGTCGATCAAAAAATTTCTACATCAGACAAACATATTTAAAAAATGCTCCAAATGCGCTTGTAAGGTTCGTAGCTGTGACAAAAAAGGAAAAGCTAAATCTTATAAACCTCATTTCTCAAGCAGAAATCCTGAATTTTCATAAAGATTATGATGCTGAACACCAAATATTTAGAAAATTATATTAATAAATGAAAATTAGAATTGCATGTATTTAAACATTTAATACAGTATTTGCATATTAAATATGTTAAACACTGCATAATATGAAAAATAATTAAATGCATAATAAATAAATTTTGCATTTAATTATTTTTAATTTTAAATAATAATTTTAAATTCCTCAGATTCAAGATCTGAAATAGAAATTTTTAAAATAAGGTTTGCAGATAGTTTGCATCATAATTCAATTTTCCTTCATTTGTGCAGAAAGCACTATATTTCCAAGTTTAACTTGCAAATGAATTACAGTCAAAAGTCTTTAATCCAGAATGATCTATAATCTGGACCTCAAAGCTACAAACTTTCTGTGCATGCGTCAATGCACGCATGCACATAATACCTGTACGTATGTGGTCATGTGTTGACGCATGCGCAGTTAATGTATAACGGACGTTATAAGCTGATTTAATTATCTATATCAGTTAATGTTGCAGATTGTGTTGTTCCTTAATCTTTGAATTGGATACGGCTTATTATTTTTTGCAGACTGTTAGAGCAATTTTATAAAAGTAAGCTTGAACTTTCGATTATGTCAAAAAGAATTTCCGTTTCTGGAGGTGCCAAAGGATCTGCAAAGCGAAAGCATGTTTCGATGTCCATCAAACAAAAAGTGGAATTGCTGCAAAAAATGGAGGGGGTGGGGGAACGTTGCGGCACGCAATGAACTGGAAGTTGATCTGTCAGCACTATCCTCATCTTCAGGGCAGATTTTTTATTTTATTCGGCTTCTAATTCCTTACTACATGTAGTACTTCATCTCGATGTATTCCATCTTTGATACGATTTAAATCAAATTCGTCGTCATTATAAATATCACGAATACACATCAAATAGTTTTCTGGTTGCAATTTTCCAAATTGACTATGCGTAATGTATGCTTTACGCATGCGCACATTGAAAGAAATGTTTAATAAAGTAAACAAATAAATATTAAGTTTTTTTTTTTTTTTTTTTGTAAATGTCGATATCCTTTATATCATAAATTACGGTTTCATTTTTATAATTTCTGCACGCCATATTACCAGACTTAAACTCATGATCTATAATCCGGAATCACCAATGTCCCGACAAGTCCGGATTAAAGACTTTCAACTGTATATTAATTATTGATAAATTTTCAACAGTGGTTGGTACAGGCTAATGCAAAATCAGCTACTCAGTTTTATAAATTCACTGCTCATGTTATGAATATTGTTGGTATCTATACATGGTATCAATTTATGTGCAAGTTGAGTATGTTTTGTGTTTTAACCTTAATTTTTTTTTAGAGGACAATCAAAATCTAACAATCGGTAGAGTTAAAAATCAAAGGAAAAAGGTATTTTATTAACAAAAAAATTTTTTTAACTGCAACAAAATTCAAATTTATGCATATTTTCTGCCTGAAATCTGAAAGTTTTACCTACAAGAAATTTCTATTGACCATAATTTGTAATGCAACTCGCTGACAGCAAAATATTAAGATTTTAAGATTCACATTTATTCAAATAAATGTAATACATTAAATAACTTATTTTGAACTCAAACTAAAAAGAAATATGTGAAAACTTTTCACAAGAAGGAGAAAACTTGAAAATAAACAATGAAATCTATTCTCTTTCTTTATTGGATTTTTCTAAGACGCATACAGAAGAAATAATATTTTGTATTCATATAATTATAAACTCTGTTTCTTCCTATACTTTTCAGCTCTAACACCCCTCATGGCATTTCGATTTTCATAATGTGTATTTAATTATGGCAAAGCACACTTAGGGCTATCTGCCTAAGGGGAGGGATGCCTTCGTGGAGGACTTTCTAAGGGAAACTGGCTCGTATACACGTTACACATGGGGAAAACCACGAAAACACCCATGCAGCCAGCCCGTTCGCGTGATTCGAACCTCGGACCGAACTACCATTGTTCAGCGACTTTACCGCTCGGCCGCTGGTGGGCCTTGATTTTCATAAAGTTTGTTAATTTTGAAGGAAAATTACAGTATCTTGATAACAAATCATAAATACTGATCAAGAAGTCTGGTTCTTTTCACAGATTAATTTTCTACTGTGTGTGTGTGTGGGGGGGAATCTGTTCAAACGTAAATGTACTCTAAAACAAAGCAATTAAACTTCATAACTGAGAATATCTACCTTTAAATTTATATGACATTTATATCTACAGTGTCAATTATTTAACTCCATTTTACATTTTTGGTACTGAAAATAATGTAAAATTGGACTTCAAAACCATTAAAATCTTTTTCTTCAAATTCTTATCATGATGCTAATTAAGAGAAAATATATTCATGGGCCGTGCATAAGGAACTTTGAAACAAGCCAAAAAATAAATAATAATAATTTTTTTTTTTTAAATGTAAAACTCCGGAGCAGAATACTCCCCTTTGTGTACACCGAATTCAATGCTAAACAACAAACACTCATTTCCTTCATCTGAATGCAATAATAGTATTTGCACGCATTTAGGAAAAACAGGCATATCCTTTCATGTTGCAGGAGGAAAATAAGGGAAAAGGTTTTCCCTCTTTGTCTATGTAAAATATATGATTTCCTTAATCATGATAGCAATGGAGGAAAAAATAGAGAAGACACTGTGCATTTTATAAACTTTTCTTGAAAGAAGTTTTCATAATGTTTAAATAAGAATCTACTGCAATTTCTTTTCTATTTGCTACCTTCCCTTAAGTTCCAATTTTTCCAAAGAACTTGTTTATTTATTTATTTATTTTATTATTATTTATTTTTTAAATTTTGATAATTTCTAAAAATACAAGTAAACTTTTCTCAAACAAAATTAAAACTTACTTTTCTGTTCTTTATGACTGTTTGTACATATTCTGCCTTTTCCAATAGGGCATTCTTTTGTTTCCTTGAAAGAGTTGGTTGTAATCTAAAAATTAAACATATATTTAAAATAAATCTAAAATATACATAAAATACAACTATGAAATGTTTAGAAGAAATTATCTCACCTTATATGCCACTGTGCTAGTATCAGTAGGAGAACTGACACAATAATTATGAACATAATTACAAATAAATGATAGTCTTCAGGTAAGCTTTCCCATATTATTAAAAACGGATTCTGAAATAAGATTTTCATTAATACAGTTAAAAATGAATGTCTGTTACTTTCAAATATTATTTTGAATGATTTGCGAGGAAAAAAAAATTCATTTCAGTATTAATATGGATGATTTTAAAAAGGGAAAGCATCTTATATAAATATATGGGGGGAAAGCTGTAAAAAACGCAAGTAACTAAATTATTCAATTGACATGAATTGAATACACAACAAATTACAAGTGCTGATTCAGAAGTCAAACAACAAAAATCAGCATTATATTTTCTTTTTGTTTGACTTCTGAATTAGTATTTGTTTGGCGTGTTATTGTGTCTAAATTACAATTGTCCTAAAATCTGAGCTAAATGGCTACTGCAGCGTAATTAATAATAATGATATATCTAAAAAAAAAAAGCAAAGTTGGAAAATACAACACATTATAATCTAGGTAACCAAAAAAAAAAAAAAAAGAGAAAAGAAAAGAAGAAGAACCACCTTTTAAACCATTTCATTATACAACTGGTAACACAATTTTTAGTGTTACCCAAAATATGGAATCTGTCTATCTAAAAACTCAACATAAAAACATCTGGTTAATAAATCAAACAATAACAAAACAATAGAACTACCAACCAGTTTTCAAATGTAACAGTGTTTTCACTTCAAAAACGTGTGTAAATCAACCCAATGCACTAAGATTAAACTAAAGTCCATAATTTGGTAAGCCTTCAAAATGCAAATTAAGCTAACACAGGCTTTGATATAATTCTTGTTAAAAACAACATCAGTTAACTCTGTACTTCACAGTCAGTTTGCCACTCTTTTGATAATGTTTGAAGTTATAAATTAGCCTACAACCTCCATATTAGCCGAAGTAAATATATTCAAACAATTTCAAAACGAATTTATAATGATAAATGGAAGTAGCAATAATATTACTAAGTATACAGTAAAATATTTAATGATGATATTTTTACACATATTATTTGATATATATATTTATAGGGTGAAAATGCTACATGTCCCCAAAAAAGTTATTTTAAATCTTAGTTACAAACGACTAAAGTACCTGCTATTTAATACTTAATTGAAAAATCTAAAAATCGATTGCTTGAACTGAATTGTATTCATAAAGTTAAAAAAACAATCTTGCGATACATTTCTGGAATATCATCACTGAGACGCTGGAGGATATTTCTACTGTTAATGATTTAACTGGGCAACAGATACAATATAATCATTTGATTGCCTGATTTCTTTACATGATGATCTATTCTTCCTATTACATTACAGAAAAATATTGATTCATCCCCTCCATTAAAACTTGAAGCAATGAAGTCTTATAAAAAGTTAATTACTTCCTTACCCTACATACATAGTCATTACATTAACGATAAGTAATACATTATTTGCATTATTTTTATTTTCAAAGGTAATTAACAAATAGAGAAAGTATTTGGTATAGAAAAACAATTTTAGTTATTTCTTTGTAATTAGCATTAATATTAGAGGTATTATGCAATTATTTATCATATCTCTGCATATCTGTGTATATAATGCTGTGTCCTTACCTTACCATCCCCAAAAATATTCACTTAAAAGTATTATTCAATCATAATAATCATGATAACATAAACAGAAAAAACAAAGACAACAATTAAATCCACAACTAAATAAAAGACCGATTACAGTTATCTAGCCTGTAAATGTGTTTACGGTTTGTTTTAAAACAACAAAGGCTTCAATTTCTGAATGGGGAGAAGGAGAAGCTGCATGTGTAATATCTTTCTTTTGGAAAGATGTGGTTTGGTTTTTTAGCATCCAGAAAGAATCTTGATAAAAATTTTAGAGGATCACCAAGCAAACAAAAATTAGAGGTGGCATATTTTTCGAATTTAAGGAGATACTAGGCAGTAAAATTTAAGGAATCGCAGAGGCCACAATGTGCAGGACCTGTCACCCTCCAACTAGTCATAGGCTCAAAGTGTGACCTTGGCTAACATCAATACAATGTCAATCAATCAGTTATTGGACTTGACCTAGCTAGCAGGCGTTTGAAATAAATGCAGAAATCTAAAAATCCATTTATGGCACACCTGCTTCTTCTTATATTCTTTACTTTGAGATAATGCAGGGAGTTATATTTTTTATTTCAAGGTGCAGTGGCTAGTGTATCGCGCAGCAGCACCACGGGTCTGGGGTTTGATCCCCGTTCTGGGCAAGGTCGACTCAGCTTTTCATACCTTGAGTCGATAAAATGAGCATCAAGTTCGCTTGAGGACTAAACACTGGAGTCCTGCGACAAGCCGACTACTTGTTCAGGGCATATGCTTACACAACCCGGGGCCCACAGTCAAGAAAGCCCACTAAGGCTGTCACGCCACAGAGTTTAATATTTTTTATTTATTTTTCAGTAGCTGGCCCAAAGATTTCAGACATTGTACTCTTGTCATCCAAAATCATCATGTCACAAATTAGAAGCTTAAAAAAATGTTTTATTTTTTTTTAAAGAAAAATATCTTAAACCTTTTGCCCAAATACTTCTGGGATATACAAGATACATTTTTCAAAAATTAAAATGTAAATACCACACACTATAATCATAATACTTTATTTCAATTACTAAGTTACACATATAAATATTGACATTCTACTTTGAAAATCTTTGCTTTTAATAGGCAAAATGATTATTCATAAACTTTTGAGATACGTTTAAAACTGCCTGAATATAAATTACTTTAAGAAGAAAATAGATAGCCTAAGTAAAAAAAAAAAAAAAAAAAGAGAGAGAGAGAGAGAGGAGGGGGGGAGCTTCTTACCAAGTAAAACTTTAAAGCTTCAGTAGTAGAATTTCCAAGGATACTGCTTAAAATTTTTCCAGAATTACTGCTAGCCAAGACACCAACTATTACTAGGACTGGAAGCATAATACCAAATAGACCCAAAACTACACCTTTTCCACTAGATTTTAGGTTTTCAGATCGACTTTGGCTGCAAATTAAAAGAAAAGCTCTTAAAAAAATTGCAATCATGTTTAATACTTGAAAAATTGTACACTGAATACAAAATCATACATTTAAAATGAGCTCATCAAAATAGCAATTCCAGTTAGTTTAAAAAAATCCATTTTATTATTCCTCAAAGACATGATCAATCTACACTGGTGAAATAAATTAAGAGAATTTGCATATTTTATGGAATTGCATGAAAAGAACTGAACTGAAGGAAAACCCCCTGCTTCTAGATAAAAATCCATATCTTGTATGGCAAATAAGTAAGTGTACACATGTATGTAGGCAGAGTTAGCAGAAAAACAGACTTTTTGAGGGTAAGGCGAATTGCGTTCGCTAGCACAACCTCAGTGAACTTCTTAGTGTTATCTGGCAGCAATCGGTTAAATTCACATCGGAACAGTAAAAATGAGTAACCACTAACGTTTAGATGATGGAATGAGGTGGCGAATTGTGGGGAAGCTAGAGCAGGCCAATCGCAAGTCCAGGTATGCAGACAGTTTAATTTAACGCCCATCGTCGCGTGTAACCTATGGAAACAGTTCCAGGATACTAGATCCATTGAGAGAAAGCCTGGGAAAGGTCGTCCAAGAGCCACGACGGCCAGAGATAATTGCTATTTGTTCATTTTAGCGAGGCATAACAGAGGGGCTACAGCTTCTCAGCCCTCTCGGGACCTATATGCAGCCACTGGAACCCATGTAACAAAGGTGACTGTTTCCAAAAGACTGAATGATAAAGGGTTGTTTACCAGAAGACTGGTTGTTTACATCCCACTCACGTCTAAGGACAGGAGAGTCCGATTAGCACGGTGCAGGCAGCATAGGCATAGTGATTGGAGTACAGAGCAATGGGTGACCGTCCTGTTCACCAACGAGTCCTGTTTTAGCCTAAACACCGATTCTCGCCGTACTGTCATATGGAGAGAGCCAGGGATCCGCTACCTATCCTCCAATGTCCACGAAATCAACAATTATGGCAGTGGTGGTGTAATGGCCTGGGCAGGCATCATGTTGGATGGCCGCACACCTCTGCATGTCTTTGGCAGAGGCTCTGTGACTGGTGTGAGGTATAGGGATGAGGTCTTGGAGCCCTATGTTCGCCTATTCTGGGGTGCAGTGGGTGAGGATATTCGTCAGATGGATTGGCCAGGTCTCCAGACCTCAACCCATAGAGCATGTCTGGGACACTCTGGGGAGGGCAACTGCAACTCACAGCCCCCTCCGAGAACCATCCAGGAACTGAAAACAGTGTTGCTGAATGAGTGGGACCTATTGCCACAGGCACTGATAAACTGCCTTATTTCCAGTATGACATCCCGTTGCGAGGCCTGTATAGCTGTAAGTGGGGACCACACCCCCTATTAACCCATTTCTTTTGTGTCTTCTACAACCGATGTTTCAGATCTTCAGACTCCCATGAGTGTTACACACGAACATGTGTGTCTATTATAACTGTTGAAGGTTAATTTTGTTTGCATTATATCAACCTATGTTCACAACAAATTTTATTAAAATCTGTCCAGCAGATCTTGAGATCGTAGATCAAATATGAAAATTATCTTAATTTCTTTCACCAGTGTAGATTAAGCCTTTTCACATCATTTGTACTTGCTTAACTCTCTCAGCACGGGTTTTTGGATTTGTCATAAAGTTCTGTATTTAAACAGCATTTATTAACTAAAACTGTATAATTACTTATTTTAGTCTCTATTTTCACATTCATTAAGATGACATTTATTATGATAAAATTACTTAAAAAAAGTAAGAAAGCAAAATATCTAAAATTATTATTATTATAATATTATACATCTTAAATTATGTGTACCAAGTGGAAAAAAAATCTTATGAACGGATAAAGCCAGTCATACCACTCAGAATTTTATTATAAAGAAATGAGATAATTTGTACAAGTACTTGTAATATCTCACCCCCCTCCCCCATCAGATTGCTTGCACACAAAGCCTCAGTTGACATTTTCTGCTACTGAAGTGGCAATGATTTCTAATTTCAAATGAAAGGAATTCATACACTAAAAATAAACATACCCAAGAGAGAAAAAGGAGGGTAAAGGTGAAAATCGAAAAGGTAAAGTTAAAAATCACCAATAGATAAAGGTAAGTTCAAATTACATTTGCAATGAATCTGTATAATGAAGGGTAAGAAAATTATGCTTTTAAAAATTTTTGGAGTTTAATGAAAACACTTTTAAAAGGAAATTCTGCAACCAGCATAAATGAAAACATGACAATTTAACCTTTTAACTGTCATGCCCGAGATTCACTGGTGTTCGAAAATGTCACGCCCGAGTATTTCTCGGGGTAATTTTTTTTTTTTTTTTGAGTGCATCATATTGTCATACCCGAATATATATCGGGAGATGTTTATTTCGGCTACATTTGGTTTTTCCAATAAAAACATTTGACAATTTGTGTACCCAAATCATCAAAATAACTTGACCGTTAAAGGGTTAATGCAACATGATGAAACACTGTTATAATAATGATGCATATTCTTTAAAAAATTATAAAAGCCATGCAAATACTTACTCATTCTTTTTAATTATATTAGTAATTTCATTTTCAATCCTGGTACAATCTGTTTCTAAGGCATTTAGTGTGTGTTGGACGGTTCTGTTAATAGTTTTTTCAATCTCTTTGCATACTTCTTCTATCTGATTGGCACATCGAGCTGGCTATTAATTAAAAAAATAGCACAAACTAAGTATGAAACTGCAGTTAACCATTATTTTCAGAATGTTAGTCATGTTCATTGCAGAGTTAAATTTATACATGCATAATTTTATATACATCATTAAACATTAATATTTTAATTATAATTATCATAAAATAAAAAAATCACCTTGTTTGGATTAGGAATATAGATGGTTGAAAGATCAAAACCAGCTCTATTCAAAACTGGTCTTTTACACAGTTCTTGTACGATCTGCATGAGCACTTTCTAGAAGAAAAATATTATACTAAATTACTCCTGCATCAGATATATACAATTAAACTTTGATTATCTAATAGGAGGAAGGATATGATTTATTGAAGTTATACTGCATTACATATTCAACATACATATAATACAACTGGAAAATTAAAATAGCAAGACTCAAGAAATTGTAAAATAAAAAAAGACACTACTTATTATTTTATTCAAAGTGCATATCTTTTGATTCAACAGAGCAAGTAACATAATTTAACAAAGCCTGAAATCTGGAAAGAAAAGTGAATGGTAGTACACAAAATTTTGCCTTCTAAGCCAAGAACTTCTTTACAACTACTGCCTGATCTGGTGTTTTATCCTTATGTAGAGACCAATTGCCATATGCTGAACACTTGATTTGAACTTGAATTTCAACAGGTATTCCAAAAATTTAAAAAAAAGTATACTGACAGTTTGCCTTTTATGAACAAATTCACCATCAGTAATTTATTGCCTTAATGTCGTAGAAATATACCAACATTTTGCCTTTACTTTTGACTTCTGAAGATGATTACTTGACCATCAAACAAACAAACAAAAAAAAAAAAAAAAAAAAGGTCACATACATTGGAAAGTTTTTTTTTTTTTTTGCTTTCTTACCCAAGTCTTCCATTAAAATACAATGAATCATCTAATTATCAACAAACCATCATCTTCCAACTTGGACAATGGTCATTCTGTAGCCATTCTTTCAGACTTTCATATTAGGTCTTGCTTCATCTTCCAACACTTTGGACTTATTACATTCTAAAGAATAACTGAGCATGAAGTAAATTATTCTATAGACGTATATCCTTAATTCAACTGTTTTTCCGAGATAAAATAAAACACGATATTTACTTTTTGCTTCATGCTGCAATCATACTTTCTCACTATAAAAAATGATGAATTATTTCCCATCCCTCATGCTTAGCAGATATAATGAATTGTTGCCAGATTAGATGCAGGTTAGTTATAAGGGTAATTTGAATTTTTTATTTATTTTTTTAGAACCAAATGTATTTCTATATTGGCCATAATAAAATAAATAAATTATTTTATTATCAAATGGTGTAAGTTCATTAACTGCAAAGGAGACAGGAAACATAACAACTTCACAGTTTTAATTTATGTGCACAGTTTATCCCCAAATTACTTTCAGACTGCAATTTTCCCTCCCTCAAAGGGAGTATTTTGCTTGAAAACACAGCTGATGCAATACTTTAAAAAGTGATTAAAAAGACTATACCTTGGAAAAAAATTGAAAACCTACTATGGAAACATGGATTAGAATCATCAAGAGTTGTCTGAAAAAATTAAGATCAAGATACAATACAAATCACCAAATTACTTCTGAAACTGCATTTTTGAATTCTGTGCTTGATACATAATCGATTCTTGATTCCCCTTTCTATGTGATACATTTTTCAGTATTCACCAATCAATGCACAAAGATTTTCTTACTAAAGCTACCATATGTGTTATTAATCCTCCTTATCCAAACTGGTCAACAAAATCAACATAGCTAAAAGAACTCATACTGTCACATATATATTTATTCAGCTCTATCCCAGTTTTAATGCAGAACACCTGAAAGGGAGCATCGAAGAATCTCTCTCCTATACCTTCTTTTCTTATCGCCAAACTGCTAGAGGAACTTTTCATTCATTTGTTATTTTACATGTTCTCATGCTGTAAAGAGACTATACTTTTACAAGTATCCATGACTTTTCCAGGATTTTAACCTTGTCCAACTATATGTCAGGAGGCACAGTTAATCACCGCATCCTATCTGGAAAAATTCTGCATATATAAACTTTACCAAATCAAAGTGCTTTGCATTATACGTTGATCAGAAATTTAGATGTGTTTTAAACACACACAAATTTCTTTTTAATGAAATGCACTTACTAGAAAAACCCCAAGCACATAAGGTAAGTCATAAGTACGAAAAGTAGGGTGTTATTAAGTCTCGGTTCACATAAATTTTCTGAAACATTTACTTTTAAATAACTTTCTTCTGCATTTAGTATAATGATAACTTGATATTTACTTTATTTACAATTAATAATTTTAACAATATATATTATTTTTTAATTTATTTCCTTACAATACAAATTTTTAACATTCTGACAAACAAACAATATATATACTAAAAGAAATATAAACACCACTACTTACTTGTCGATCAGTTTCATTTCCAGCCTCATCTGCTTTACTCAGGAACAGCTTAATTTTTTCACCATACTTGGCACTTAAGGATTCCACTACGTTAAGTGTTCTCTTACGAAGAGCTTGGCCAATTGGATCAAAAAACACAAATATCAGGTCCGAAATACTTCCTAATAAAATAACAATATGAAAAAATTCTGTGACAACAATATGTTTTATATTAAATATGAAGGAAAGTTAAATTAATTACCTAAAAATTTGATAGCTTTATCAACATCAAAGGGATAATTCATTTCTCCATCAACCAATCCTGGTGTGTCAATGAATGTAACCAAGCTAAACTTTTTCTGTTTGGATGTTGATATTTCAGTTGTAACATAGTCAACAAGGCCTAAATTTTAAAAAAAGATAATTTTATTCATAACATTAGGCTTAACTTTAAAAATGCATTCCCATTCTGAAATCCCCTTAATAAAAAGTGTTTATTGCTTCTTAAATAATTAAATAAAATATGCAAAAGTAAAATAAAAAATAACAGTAAGCATTGCATTAAAAACATAATGACAGTAAACATTGCACGAAAAAAGCGTAAATGAAAAATGTGGTTATAGAAGCTATAAACTAAACTAGTAATGCTTGGCGATGAGAAATATTGCATACTCCCTTGAAGGAACAAAAACATACCCACCAAAGCTTTAAAGTAAAAGTAGCATGTTCAAATTTTAAGAGCTTAAGATCTGTAATTTAATCATGAACACGAAATAATTATTTCACACAAATATATAAATGTTAGGAAAAGTGGACCAATCTGAAAATCAAAATTAAGTAAAAGACAATTTTATACTGGTATCATGTTTAGAGAAATTTTATACAGACTTTGAGGAAATCTCCCTTTTTCAACATCCAGAATTTTTAATAACTGGGAAGGATTACTTTAATATATCATATATGGCAATTTTTCAGGATTGAAATACAAAAATTAATATGTTTGCTTCAAAAGGATTTTAGAGTTATAAAATTGCCTAGCAATATGCATAAGCTTACTATATATATATTACATACAACTAATTTTAACATGCAGTACATTCACACAAAGTGCAATTAATCTAGCATTAAAAGTAATTTTCATTTTAGCAATATCAATTAAAGAAAAACATGTATAAAAGCACACATATGTGTTATTAACCCATTATTACCTACTGTATAATACTCCAAAAAATATTATTACCCACTGCATAATACTCCAAATACAATGATGCAGTTGATTTGAAGCAGGAAGAACAGCCCTTCACTGGGCAGCTCGCAGTCAAATCAAGCTAGCAGCCCGATGATGGACTGCCCTACCTACAGGCTATTCAGTTGGTGCACTCCTTTAATCTTTGCTAAATATAATTAAACTTCACACTACTAAAACTAGTATGAAAAATAAAACAGAAATGATGCTAAAAAAATAAAATAAAATAAAATAAAAAACAGAAATGATGCAAATATTTTACACTTCAATTTTAAAAATCCAGAATACAATATAACAGATGAAATTAATGTAAAATACATTTTCGATTATTACGGGGCAAGGATCAGTAGTTCTGACATGAAATTTATCTTGTAATTCAGACCACATAAATACACTTCAAATTTACGTTTCGGTTACTTGAATATGGTGTTTCATTATAAGGATTATCTACACAAGGAAAAGGATAGCTTTGTGGATTTGCTTCACATATGGGGAAAACCACAAAACTAACCGTGTAACCAATCTATTACCCTGAGTTCAAACACCGGTTGAATTACCAGTATTCAGTCATTTTAATCACTTAGCTCCTGATGCGGCTCTAACAACTTAATTGATTGAATTAAATGCTAAATTTTACGCAAGATAGAAAATGCTATGATATCAAACACTCTTTTGAATGCAACTTTAATTAAAGACCATGAAACATATTTTACATAAATATATATTCATAATAGACCTAAAATATAGTCAGCTTCTAAAAGTTAACACATTCTGTCTATGTATTAACCAGCAATATTTTCCCTGAACAAAAAAATAAATAAAAATAAACTTTTATAAATTTACAAATAAAAGAGAGAGAGCTGAATTAAAAGCAAGATAAAATTTCAAAACTGAAAACCATGAAAATTAATGTGTGAGCAACTCATCACTGACAAAGTCTACATTAGACATTTTGAAGATAAGCAGATCTGTAACTTATTACAGCAATAACAAAGAACTAATCAGTGATAACAACTTGACACTAAAACAACTTCACTGTAAATAATGAGTCATACAAATATTTGAACGCCTATTTCTTTTCTTTTCTTTTTTTAACACTATACTTACTTACAACTAATGCCAAATTTACTTATTAAATAAATTTTGTCATACAAAAGGACTAAGTAAACTTCATATCAACCAGTTCTGAGCTCGTACACAATCTCAGTAAATCATCAGAATTACCGAATAAAGTTGCATAGAAGCTCAAAGTTTAAAACTGAAAATTTTGCTGTCAATTAAATTCCATGAAAATTGTTCATAAAGTATGGTACAGCAAACAGTCCGACTGCTAAGGCATTAACATAAAGCCTGTTCAAAATCGTAAAAACAACCTTGTATTTAGCGTAAGTATAATGAAACACTCAATCGATTTCGAGGGCAGCTAAAGGTCCCTCCTCATCAGGAGAAAGAAATACCTAGAAAGAAGAAAATAAAGAAGGAGTCTCAGAAACACGTGGTCCTTATCAGCACTGCACGTGGTTACCATTGGATTTTTAATCAGAGTTGCACTGGCCGCCCTACTTTTACTGAGCCAGGCTATCTGATCAAGCATAAAGAACAAGAAAAATTAGCGAAGTTAAAATAGGGAGCGAGGGGCAAATGCACCTTCACGCTCAAAATCTGAACTTCAAATAATGGAAAGCAACCACTGAACGGATTTTTATACCCTCTGGTAGTACCAAACGCGAGGAGGTAACGCCATTTATTGGCAAAAATAACTGAATTAAGATAGCAGAATTTTAAAGGCATTAGGAAGGACTGGATTGGACTTCAAATCATTAACTAAACCTGCTAAATCTTTGTGAATGTGAAAAGCCTCAAGAAAATCCAAGTCACCTATGGAAGAAGCCTTTTGGATAATTTTTGCGGACCCAAAGTCAAAATTATGGTTAAATGTCCAACTATGATACGCTATTGAAGACTTGTTAATTTCGCCTGTTCTGACATAAGATTCATGTTCCTTGATACGAAACTTCAACGCTCTTTTTGTTTGGCCAATATATCTTAAACCACACTGACATGATATACTATAAATTCCCCAAGAATTCAAGACAGAAACGCAATCTTTTAGAATCGAAGGGTTAATTTTATTAACAGGGGAGAAACCGACTTGAAAATTGAATTTCTGGAGAATCCGTGCAATTTTATAGCTAACAGAAGGATAAAATGGAAGCACAACAAGGTCATTAATATTATTTCTAACAGTGGAATGTCTTCTTTGATGGGAATCTGAAAAATTTTTAACGGCTTTATCAATAATCACAGGAGAAAATCCACGGTCAATCGCAACTGCTTTCAAATAATTAAGTTCATTGGTAAGCAAAGATTCAGAGGAACAACCTTTAAGCGCGCGGAATACATAATAGTAAAAAGAAGCCATTTTTTGCTTAACATGGTGGCATGACTTGGCATGGGGTGGTAAACAAACTGCAAAGGGTTTACGGTACACAGTGGTGCTAAAATCAGTTTCATTGCGGATGATAAGAATATCAAGGAAGGGGAGGGAATTGTTGGATTCAATTTCAAGAGTGAATTGGATGGCTGGATCAATCGAATTCATGGTAGATAGAATCTCGGATAAATCCTCTTTATAACTAGGCTTCGAGAATTTTACTTAACACATACTGAAATTAATGAGTTGGTTTTGCTTACTAAAGTTTCTCTGAGTCAAACCCACTTTGTTTTCCAAAATGCATATTTTCGTCAAGTTGAAGGATTATGGGCTATGGATAATCCTCCGAGTCCGGTACTTGCTGACATTTATATGCACTATTTTGAGATGAAATTATTTGATAAACTATCTTTTCGTCTTTGGATTCGGTATGTTGACGACACTTTCGCACTTTTTGACAATTATAAAGAGGATTTATCCAAGATTCTATCTACTATGAATTCAATTGATCTAGCCATTCAATTCACTCTTGAAATTGAATCCAACCATTCCCTCCCCTTCCTTGATATTCTTATAATCCGCAATGAAACTGATTTTAGCACCACTGTGTACCATAAACCCTTTGCAGTTTGTTTACCACCCCATGCCAAGTCATGCCACTCTGTTAAGCAAAAAATGGCTTCTTTTTACTATTATGTATTCCGCGCTTAAAGTTTGTTCCTCTGAATCTTTGCTTACCAATGAACTTAATTATTTGAGAGCAGTTGCGATTGACCGTGGATTTTCCGTGATTATTGATAAAACTGTTAAAAATTTTTCAGATTCCCATCAAAGAAGACATTCCACTGTTAGAAATAATATTAATGACCTTGTCGTGCTTCCATTTTATTTTTCTGTTAGCTATAAAATTGCACGGATTCTCCAGAAATTCAATTTTCAAGTCGGTTTCTCCCCTATTAATAAAATTCACCCTTCGATTCTAAAAGATTGCGTTTCTGTCTTGAATTCTTGGGGAATTTATAGTATATCGTGTCAGTGTGGTTTAAGATATATTGGCCAAACAAAAAGAGCGTTGAAATTTCGTATCAAGGAACATGAATCTTATGTCAGAACAGGCGAAATTAACAAGTCTTCAATAGCGTATCATAGTTGGACATTTAACCATAATTTTGACTTTGGGTCCGCAAAAATTATCCAAAAGGCTTCTTCCATAGGTGACTTGGATTTTTCTTGAGGCTTTTCACATTCACAAGATTTAGCAGGTTTAGTTAGTTATGATTTGAAGTCCAATCCAGTCCTTCCTAATGCCTTTAAAATTCTGCTATCTTAATTCAGTTATTTTTGCCGATAAATGGCGTTACCTCCTCGCGTTTGGTACTACCAGAGGGTATAAAAATCCGTTCAGTGGTTGCTTTCCATTATTTGAAGTTCAGATTTTGAGCGTGAAGGTGCATTTGCCCCTCGCTCCCTATTTTAACTTCGCTAATTTTTCTTGTACTTTATGCTTGATCAGATAGCCTGGCTCAGTAAAAGTAGGCGGCCAGTGCAACTCTGATTAAAAATCCAATGGTAACCACGTGCAGTGCTGATAAGGACCACATGTTCCTGAGACTCCTTCTCCTTTATTTTCTTCTTTCTAGGTATTTCTTTCTCCTGATGAGGAGGGACCTTTAACTGCCCTCGAAATCGATTGAGCATTTCATTATACTTACACTAAATACAAGGTTGTTTTTACGATTTTGATTGTCACATTAGCGTGTTTCTCTTCTAGTCTATAAAGCCTGTTGTTAAAAATTACAGAAGCTCACTTGGAAATGCCTCACAGGTGAAAAACATTCAGCACATTTTCAAATTTTCCTTACATAATGCTGTCCCAGAAGAAAGAAAATTCAAGATAAATTAATATTTAATGTTTAATTTGAGCAATACATTGCATAAAATGACTATAAATATATTTTTACAATTTAAAATATAAAAATATAAATTGAAAATTTTTGGACAAAAATTTAGCAAATTTGCTTTCACTTCATGTCAAGTCTGTTTACCTTGAGATTACTTTACCCCCTATTAGTTTGTAAATCCTACCTAAAGAGGGGCAGTACACATTCAACGCAGTCAAACTTAGCTTAAGTAGTTTATGCCACTGAATACATACTGCCCCTTTCAGACAGATTTACAAACTAATTTTGGGTAAAACAATGTCAAGGTAACAGATGTGACACGAAGTGGAAGACAAATTATTTTTCTATTGATTTATTAAAGAAAAAAAAAACTTCTGTAATTAATTTTTATCATAGATATAACACACTAATAGTTCATATTTAAAATAATTAAACTTGTTTATTTAAAAAAATAAATCAGGTTACAAAACAAAGATGTTGAATAACATGAAACTTGAAAGGGACAGGCATATTTGCCTACAATTATGAAGATTTATGTCTGAAAAATTTTAATTGATTTTTTTTATATTTTGCATTGTAGAAATATATTTATAGTCATCTTTACGCAATACATTGCTCAAATTAAAGTTTAATCATAATTTATCTTGAATTTTCTTCTGGGACAGCAAATGCAAGCAAAATTTGAAATGGGCATTTCATTTCATTAATAATAGCTGGATTTGTACATGCCTACATCTTCCCATATATACCCAAAAGTAACAGGGAAGTAAACCAAACCTGTCCAAGTTGTTATGCCACTTATTTCACATTAAAATTAACTAAAATAATGATACAGCAATACACAGTAGAGTTCCAGAATTCCATGTTCATAGTTGCCAATCCTGAAATACAAAAAAACTGAAAGGTTCTTACATTTCAGCATTACAACTTCAAAATGTCTCCGAGTTGATAAATGTTAGTTATTACCTCTCTATAATGTATTATTCGGACTGAAGGTGGGGTGGGGTGGGGAACCATTTCTTAAAGTTTCTTCATAAAAGCGAATATTGCTAAAGCTTGAAATGAATTTAAAAGCTTCAATAATTTACAGTACAGAAAAATTTAAATGTCTGATACTGTAAAATTCTGCCACTGAAAAAATAACACCTAGCCTTGTCAGGAACCTCTCAGAAAGCTAATTTTTCTTGTATTTATAAGGGAAAAAAAGGATTATGAGAAATAATAGGAGTTACTGGGAAAGTGACAAGCCAGTAATCTGAATTTGATCAATCTGAGTTTACTATTACATATATTCTGTCCATGAGTTTTGCAAGATAAATAAAATGCCAAAATTATATTGTTTTTTAAAAATGCATATTTTAAATTTTTAAATTATGATATTTCACTAACAGAAAACACCATTATTAAAAAAAGGGGGCCTTATTTTTTAACATATACTAAGAGGCGGGAGGCACAGATAATTCAAAAATAAATTTAAATGATACATCCAACTGAAAAAAAAATTTTAATTTGCATGTTTCAATAATTTTAATATAAATGCACTAATTTACAAGATACAAGCATACCTTTGATTTCACACAGAGGTTTGAAGTGAGGATATAGGTGGAGAGTTGCATTGCCCTAAAAATAGATATTCAAAAAGCAGTTAAACAGACACTTCAAAATTGCATTTACTTATTCTTATAACAAATTGTAAAAATGCAAAGGAGTTATACAGATAGATGATATTTAACAAAAGACTATATAATATTACACACTTGTCCAACTTTGGAAAAATGCTTCTAAAATGAACTGAAATGTCAATATTTTATGGTTGCCAATACACACACAATATTCTGAATTTGCTGAATTTGTATTTTTAGTGAAAAGGAAATTAAAACATCTATCAAATTGCAAATCAATTTTATGACAGATATGATATTGCATTAGTGATATTCTTTATCTAGTTATGGGTAAATGTACCTCAAAGTATGTTCAGCACAACTGAAGTTATGAACAGTTTTCAGACATCTACTTTAAGAGTTTAATGTCTTCATTCTAGGATTTTTTACAAATTCAGCAAAAGAAAATTTTTTAGTTATCAATTTTCAGCATATTTTACTTCATTTTTACTTCCTTGTACGAAGTAAAAAGGAAGTATTGTAATCGCGAAAAGTTTCAGACAGCATATTTCAACGAAAATATCCATTTTGACCGCTATTGAATGAAATTTAACAATGTTTTTGCGAAACATCTGTAAGAAGGAGGAAATCTGTCATAAGGAGAGAATAAAGGAATCTTTTCCTACAAAAAAATTATAAAATTGCGTTAAAATGAATTCCGAAGAGAATTTTTCGTACTGTTTGTATGTATGTATGTATGTATTTCTCATAACTTAAAAACGAGTAGCCTCAAAACGTTGAAATTTTGTATATAGGATTGCCATAACATGTAGATGTGCACCTCATATTATGGTTACAATCGGCCGCACCAAACGTATATAAACATTTTTATATATATATCCACTCTGTTACCCGGCTGAGTCATTTCAGTTTCTTTACTCTTATATGTTTGTAAGTTGTGCGTTTTTTGCTTTAAAAATGATTGAATTATGTTGTTCTTATCTTACGGTTAAGATTTGTATGCCTCTGGGAAATCCGCAAGCAATATTTGTAGAATTATCAACAATTTAAAAGTTGTTTAAGTGTAGCTAAGCCTAATTATTTTTAATATGGTGGCCATATTTGTTTACATTTGAAACTTAGCAGATAGTGGATTTGTTGCCGATCTAGAGAAACTAAGCTTCGCAACAACAAAGATAACGCATTCGTTTATTATCGGGAATTAAATCAGGCTTTATTCATTATGAAATTTATTCCAGGAAATAAGTGTTTAAAATTTACTTCGTAATTTTTAATGTACATATTTTATGCTTTTATGTATTTTTGCCTTGTCGCGAAGGGAGAACTGAATTAATTGAACGAGATATACTGAAGCCTCTGTGAAAAACTTGTTTCTCTTTTTGTTTGTTTGTTTGTTTGCTTAATTTCTTACGATTAGATAATTCTTCAAATGATATAAATTTATATGCATTCTGAGTTGTAATATGAATGAAATATAACGCTATTAAGTGAACCTAGCGTCAGAGTGTCGCGATGGTAAACAAATAGAGTCAATTTTAAAGAGAGCATTTATTCTATTGTGGTTTATGCGCTACCGACGATGTAGATTTAATTCAATTCAATAATTTAAAATAAAATGCAAGAAAAAGTGCATATAATTTAATATTCCATACAAGAAGTCATGTAGTGTACACATCAGATTTTTTAAAATTGCAACTCATGGTGGCATTTAATCTTACTGAAAAGGGTTCTCAGAGAGTAAATCAAATCAAAAAAACAAATATCAGAAATAAAAGTAATGTAATAAATCATTACAAGTATGCTTATCTCTTATAGCTTATAATCTTATAATAAATTAACATGCTCACAAATACTTTTGATACAAGATATAAAAATCAGAACAAGTAATGTTTTTGATTTGCTAATACCTAGCACTACACAGTTATAAAATTAATGCTTACAGATACAATCAGAGTTTTAAGCTACTTCAAATTACATATGTAGAGGCACCACCAACACTACCAAACTGCCACTGCAAGTAAGCATTTTGTAACTATGATTATCTAGCTAAGGCTTGTTGGCTTTAGCATATTCCTCCTCCTATTAGCCAAATGGCATGGAATCTGAGATAAGGAGTTCATTCTTGAAGTGTACTTCTTTTCACAGCATGCTGCCACTTTTGTAATATATGGCCACAAAAAACAACAGCGTACACGAAACTTAATTTCTTATTGAGGCGAGTAGCAAATGAAAGTGTTGTTATCCTTCCAGAAAATTTTAATAAAGTGCAATAGGCTGCTGAAGAAGATTGTCTTGCTCCATGCAACTTTAGAATACAGTGCTCAGTAATTTATATTTTCATGGATACTGTGTTTTAAGCAGCAGCAAAAAAAAGGGGGGATGAAGTTATTTCATAAATACTTTTATCACAATGTATTTGCTTCAAAAACTTTCTACATACTTTCTATTATTATAAGGGGTGTTCAAATGAAAAGGTACGGAAAGTTGTAACAACTAAACCAGTTGAAATTTGAACTTGCTGCTTTGGCATAACGTAGTGAGACATCTAAGGACACGAATGAAGTGTCCGACATGGTTGTGTTCATGCGCAAGTGCCTGCACATGACGCCGGAGTGAAGCAGGCAGTTGTGTGTTCCATCCAATTGATGTGGCAGTGCGTGTGATGACATCTTGGCATTCACATTGCGAAAATTCAACGATTGGGGAGCAGCAAGATATTATCAGATTTCTGAACGTGGAAGGGATTAAACCGGCCGATACTCATCTCCAGATGGTGGCTGCATACAGAGCAGATTGTGTGTTCGACAAGTCAATGAGAAAGTGGAGTACCAGTTTTCAAGAAGGCTTGGAGTGTTCGAGAGATGACCACAAGCCAGGTAAATATATATATATATATATCAACCTATCAAATATCAGATTTGAAGTACACCTTAAATTTGTCCTCTTGTCTATATAAATATTAACAAATCTTCTTAGATTGTATAGAATGTTTTTAACTTTCAATTACCTTCAGTAAAAGTTCTAATTTCATTTAAAAAATTCTCTTGATTAAATCTAAAAATTAGGTTTGTTAAGCGGTTCTAAATTCACACCAATATTATTATAATATTAATGATATTATTATAATATATGCCTTATTAAGCTTTCCATTTTTAATCATTGGAGATGTTTTAAAGCTATTTAATTTTTATAAAAATTCCATATTTAAATATTAGAAACCCTTACTATTTATTCTGTTTTCCAACAACTCTAACTATACTTTACTCTTCTATGACATGCATTAGATTAATAACAGGTGATAATTATAAGCATCTGCAGCATTTTCATAATTCATAAAAAAATTTAAAACTCCTTTATGTTCATAACTAGGGATTTTAACTTCCTCTTGATCTATTTCTTTTTCATATATTGTTGTATGTAAGTTTTCATGTATCTAAAGTTTGTATATTGCTGTATTGTATTTATGCCAACTTATATTTAAATAGTTTTCATAATCTCTTGCATCATAACAGATGTTTCTAACACCTTGGTGCAGATTAATCTTCAGTCTTCAAATATGCAGCATATTTTCCAATCTACTTTCAGGTTTAATTATTTGAAATTATTTATAAAGAAAGATTGTCAATAAAGAATGCTAATATTTCTACTAGTTATAATTTATAATACGATGAGTTCATGCGATTTATTATATACCTCATTTATAAATTTTATAAAATTTTCTGGCAGTACTGGAATTAACTGCAGATACTCCTAATGCTATTCATTTAGATTACAATGATTGAAATTGCCATTTCTTTCTTCACTGATGCTTTTATGTTATATTCCTAATATTTCATAAAGGCATACAGATAAGTTTAAATCATTTACCAAACATTCAGCATACTTTTATGTTTACGAATACTGTATCTTCTCTTTTCTTTAATATATTTTTCATCATATAGCATCTGATCACCCTCAAGGGGTCTTACCAGGCAATAAAGTCACTAAATATTGGCATTTTGACTGGAATTTCAAATCCTGTTGATACCCTAACTCTTCCTTTCTCTGTACACATTTAATATGGAAAAAGTACATTGTAAAAACTTCAGTTTATGAAGTAAAAAACTTAAATTTTATCTTTAAAAATGCTACAAAGTTTTATTCATTGGTAATTTTCATCTTAGCATATTTCTTTGCAAATCTTATTAATAAGAAAATAAAAAGGAAAGAAATAAACTCCGTTTCTATGAGTGATACCTTGGTGCAAATTATACATGTTTTTCCACAAACATAGACTTTATACAGATATCATCAATAAATTATGGATTATTTCTCCATCTAATTTGCTTAACATGTTTATTCTGGAATTCTCCTGAAAGTATTATCCTTTAACATGTTTATTCCGGAACTATACTATAGTACCGAATAATCGTTCGCACGACAGTTAACTATATTAAATTTTTCTGTCTAGTTTAAACATCAATTTGTGTTTCACTATCATAGTCAAAGAAATATATTAAATAAATAATAGCTTTAAGAGATGTAATTTATAAGAAATATAATTTGATTACTTTATATTTATCTAATTTATAATACTATTACAACAATATTCGGTCTAGTATTGTAAATAATCAAATGTGTTTCCAATGCTAATATGTGCGTTTACTAATATCTTTTATTTCCTCAGCTAGCCCTTGCATTTATCACTATTATTCAAGTAATTAGCCTACTTATTAGATATTCTTCACTTGTTCTTCTGATATGTAATCCTATTTCTCAATTCTTCTTTTTGTATTGGCTGCCTTTGGTTTCGAAAAAGTAAAATTAGATAGTAACCCTCAGCTTTTTGAAAGGTAGGGGTTTTCTTCAGAATGAGGTCATTAAATTCCCTGGCGGCAGGCAAAGGGCAGTTGCCTTTATTCGTGCAGTAGGCAGAAAAGGAAGAAACACATATGTATGTATACATATCTTTCATATGTACGTATACAAACGCAGAAAAGATAACAGAATGTGCTAAAAATTAAACAACAATTAAATATGCTTACAGTTAAAGTTTCCCTTTTTTTCCCACTAGTGACAAAAGTAAATCCCTGAGTTTCAATTGCCACACCAGTTTTTAAAATATGTTCTTCTATGTACCTAAAATTAATAAAATGCAGAACATGAGATCACAAGTGTTCACAAACATGAAATTAAAAATATAATTTTACATTTCCCAATTCATATTGTAAATATTGTTCAAAAAAAGTATTAGTTTTTTTTTGTATCTTTCTTAAAAAGATACTAGAATGTTAAAACTATTATTTTGATCATGATCATGAAAACACAAGATCTTACTGATACTGCAAAATAATAGTTTAAGTGCTCTTATTATAAACTGTTTTGTAATCAATATTACAATTTTAATTTAATTAATATTTTATATCCCCCCACAAAATACTTGCTTATGCAAGATTCAGATAAATTTCGAATATTAAGTAGATTCAGAATATTTTGAATATAAGTAGTAGTTTCTTGCAATACAGACAGCAACTGAGATACATAACATATATATATATACACCGTGTTTTAAAAAGAATATACATGTTACAAAGTGTTATTTTTTCCAAACTATCGATCACTGTGCCTCAGCTATTGGCGAAACGAATAGATAGTCTAGTTTATATTAACAGCTGCTAGATGTCAGTTGTCTTCTGTTTTGTGTGGCAACCATCACATGTTTAAAATGGCTACTCTGCAGCAGAAATCAATTTGCTTCGCTCAAGTTTGCGAAGTGCAATTCCGTGATTACAGTGCAAAGACATTTTTCAAGTTGAAGTACCAAAGTGATCCTCTGAATGGGTGGAACATTCGCAGATGGTATCGACAGTTCGTAAATACAGGATGTGTATGTAAAGGAAAGAGTTCTGGCCACCCTTGTGTTCCCGACAAAAATGTTGCATGAATTCAAACTGCTTTCCAAAGTAGTCCTTCAAAATCAACTCGTCGTGCCAGTCGGGAGTTACAACTGCCCGCAACAAAAATTTTGCGTGTTTTAAGACGTCGGTTGCTTTTGAAGCCGTACAAGTTGCAATTGTTACAGGCTCTGCATCCTGATGACAAATGCAAATGTGTGACATTTTTTGTAACGAGATTATTGATGCTATTGACAATGATAACACTTTCGCACAACGCATCCTGTTCAGTGATGAAGCGGCTTTTCATGCTAGTGGTATGTACACAAACACAATGTTCGAATTTGGGGCCTACAGAACCCGCATGCAGCCACTGAACATGTACGAGATTCACCCAAAATCAATGTGTTTTGTGAAATATCCCGATCATCTGTTTACGGCTCATTCTTCTTTGATGGAAACATGGTTAACGGTCAGCAAAGAGATTCTGTAATTAATATTAAAAAGAGTTTTCATTTCAAGTACATACTACTTTTATAATCTCTCTGTGGGATTCATATTCCTTAATTCAGTACAGTTTACAAGAATTATAAGAATAGCATTCTTCTGATACTACATAAAGATACCACATATATATTTAAGCAGCTGTAGATTTTGCTGCTATGTATACACAACACGCTATCCTTATGCATTATGCAGTCCAAAATCAAGTGCCCAATTAATTAAACCTATATATATATATACATATATTCTTTTTACACAGTGTAGGAACAAAGAATATGTTACTTATGGAAAAAGGCAGAGCTTACTTCTGCCGAGGAACATCATTATACATAAAAACACTGAGCCACTTGTGCACGGTTTTGCTTTTAAACACATATCAGCTAGCGAACTCCATTTTCATTTTTGGCTTTTGAGTAGTAAGGCAAATGCCCTACCAAAATTAAAGTTTATTAGTGAATAACACCTCCGTTTTATTGTACCCTTTAAACTAGAGTTCTATCATTCAGCAAACAATTACTGCAATGTTGCATGCAGATATAAAACAGCCATTTTAAAATTGATGCAGCGACAAGACCAAATAACAATTCTTTAAATACTGTTGTGTAGAGCATTGCAAATTCAAGGGAGGATGTGTGTGAAAAATTTTTTTTTTTTTAAACTTGGCATGTTTATAGGCAAGTACCATATTTTGTGATGATGATGGTGGTGACAGCTATGAATTCAAAGGTTTTGGATATTGCAAGTAAAAAAAAAATTTCTGATCACTGTGAAGAAATGCTAGATGAAGATGATATTATTGAACTATCTCAATGAGATGGCAGTGCTCCAATCATCAATCAATTAACAGAATAGAGAAATCTGTAGTATGGTTTTAAATCCAGAAAATATCACAATTTCGGCTTCAAGCTGCATTTCAATTTCATCAGGAAGTTACATAAACTCTGATTTATAGGAAATACCTCTTTCTTGAAGAATAGAACAGCCACTTGTTCATCTTTTGATATATCTTTTTCATCTTTTGGATTAGATGAACAAGACAGTTAGATGAAAAACGTGAATATAAGCAAAGAAGCCTAACCAAACTGACTGATGCCTGGTGCTGGGAAAATATGAAAAAAATTAAAAAGGAAGGGGGAAGTGGTATGGTTTTCAAGGAAAGTAAATAAAAATAACCACAAAATTTTCTGAAAGTAATGCCCTGATCTTCAAATCAAGCAATGGATGGCAAAATCTATAGTATAGTTTTAAATGCAAACAATATCGGCATGCATAGTACAGAAAGCCATGAATCGTTGTTGAGAATAAAAAGAATACAACTGACTATTTAATGACAACTGCTGACACAGCTATTAACCCTCTCAGCGTTACGGCCGGAAAATTCCGCATACAAGGCTGCCTTCTATATTCATTATACATGAAAATTTCTACTAGTTTTTAATGTATCTGATTTCGGTTTGGAGGTACATTGGAAGAAAAGGAGTCAAGGTACAAATTGAGAAAGTCATTTTTTAATTAAAATCATGAAAATACCACTTATTCATGACATTTTGAGGAACTTTGAAATTTCAGGGCTAAACCCATAACGCTCGGAGGGTTAAAGGACAGAACTTCACTTCTTATACTTATATATCAAAGAGAAGCACAAAACTGAAATTCTTCAAGCAACTTATGTTGAATGAAATGCTTAATAAAACAAAAGAAATGTTAACAATGAGGTTTTTTTTTTTTTTTTTTTAATTTAGATTTAAGATTTTAAAATGTTTCATTATATCATAAGTAACTTTTATATTTTCTATTATTTCTACACATCATTATGTAAGATTTAAATTAATGATCTGTTATGGATCTCAGAATTTGTGCTGTAGTTACATTAAACAGAACTTTTTTCCAAGCTGTATATGGTGAATGCAATAGAAATTGTAAAACCTTCAAGGTTTATTAAAAAAGATTTCAAAATTCAACTTTTCTTGTGATATATAACTGTTGAACTTATAATATATATATATATATATATTACTCTTATAGAGCACTGCCACAGAAATAATTCTATTTTATAAAAATATTTCTTTTACAATGATTTTGAATCGATCTGCATAAAAATTACATTCTTTATTATATACTATTATTCTAAAGATACATTTTTTTCAGCCCTTGATCCTGAAAATAGGACCAAGAGCAAAGTTTGACCTTAACTTTCACACTTTTTATCGGTCCCACTAATTTCGGGATATTAGAGTATTACATTCAGATATGATTTTATTTTCATTGCGTACTTTTATATATGTTCGTAATAATAACAAAATACAACATAAAAGAAAAAAGATTTTCACTATATGCTATTCTGGCTTATATGAACAATAATTAGTTACTTTTGTTAGTATATTTTAGGTAGTCTTTCATTTGCATATACTGATTGTATAAAAGATAGCATACGATGATGGATTGGATTATTCAATTATGGCAAAGCATGCGAGTGCTATCTGCCTAAAGGGAGGGATGTCTTCGTGGAGGACTTTCTAAGGGAAACTGGCTCGTATACACATTACACATGGGGAAAACGACGAAAACTCCCATGCAGCCAGTCCGTTCGCGGGATTTGAACCTTGGACCGAACTACCAGTGTTCAGCGTCTTTAACGCTCGACCGCTGGTGGGCTCATGATGAATATACCAGAAAGAAGCAACTTCTAAGACAATTTAAACTAGAGTAGCATATTTATGAATAACTTCAGTTCTGGAACTTAGGTAACGAACAGATAATAATTATTCATATCACACAGTTTAAACCAAAGTGACATTCATGAATAAAGTTTTGGGGCATAGGTAAAATATTGATAATAACTGTACATAAATTGAGAATCCTTTTCCAGTTTTTCATTTACACAGTGATTTTCAATCTATGATTAATTACTGTAAATCATTAGTTGCTTGATGAATCTCTTTCAACTATGTTTAAGCAGAAAGGTAATTAAAATTTCTTCATATAACCTAAATGATGAAAACAATTTATAAAGTTTGCTGTCTCAGAATTTAATTAAATACAAAATATATGTATATAAATAGATGTACAGTCAAAAGTCGTTAATTAGGACACCCATAATCCGGACCTCAAACCTAAAAACTTTCTGCGCATGCGCTGCGTTGACACATGCGCATAGGCGTTTACGTGTGTCTAAAGACCTCTACGACGCGCATGCGTGTGCGCAGAATCGTTTTTGCGTGGCGTTTTGTATAATGGCGGTATAAGCTAAATTATCTAATTAGCTATTTCAGTTAGTGTTGATGATTGCGTGGTTCCTTAATTTTCGAATTGATACGATTATTATTTTTGCAACTGTAAGAACAAATATAAAAGTAACTTGAACTTTCGATTATGTCAAATAGAATTTCCGATTCTGGAGCTCCAAAGGATCGTACAAAGAAAGATTTTCGATGTTCATCAACAAAAAGTGAATTGCTGCAAAAATGGAAAAGCTGAGAATGTGACAGAGAGGTTAGTGAAAAAAAATTTCGATTGACAAGTTAATCGGTATTCTCGGCACAGCATTAACGACTTTAAGCAGAACTTTGTAAATGAACAAAAATTATGTCTTTTTATAGAATTAAAGGAAAGTATTATCACATAAAACGAGCACTTAAAAACTTACATTGAAGAAATGTTTAATAAAGTAAACAAAAAATATTAAGCTTTTTTTTTGTAATTCTGATACCCTTTAGATCATAATTGTTTTTATTTCATAAATTACGGTTTCATATTTTAATTTTAGATTTCTGCATCCGCTTACGCGATTTAAACTGATGATCTATACTCCAGAATCGCCGAAGTCCCGACAAGTCCGGATTAACGACTTTTGACTGTATATATATATATATACACACTAAACTACTACGTCATTCGGTTTTTAATACCTTTTCCTGCTTTTTACCTATATATACACCAACATATATTTTCTAATTATGAACATATTTTTTTTATTTATATGTTATTTTTCAGAAGAAAAGCTAATATCAGGTTTAGTAAATGGACTTCCTACATCATAGATGGAAAAGAATGTTATATTTTAGAGTGTTTTCCTCAAAATGATCATGACACAGCTTTTTGCACTTCATGTAAATATTTTTTCTTAAACAAGAAACTTAAATTATTTTCTTAAATTTAAAAGATTTATGTATCAAAAATCTGTCAAGCATCCCATTTTTAGTGAAAAAATTTACATCTACTCATTAAAAACTTACCAGTTTATAAACGAACTTTTCCCAGCTGAATGGTTACCAATGAGCAGCACAGTTATCTTTTTTCTTGGAGCCAAGATATCTAAATTCAAACCTGATGCTATTTTCACCAAGCCTACAAATACAAAAAATTTATCATAAAAATCTACTCACTTAAAGAAAGAAAAAGCATATAACTGAGTGAAATTTAAAACATCTACTAAAATTATTATGATATAAATTAATATTTGCTTATTACAATTATTATTGTTAAAGTATTATTAGTTTGAAATAGTACAACATAAAAACATTGTACAGTGCATGTTACACAGACATCGAGAATGGGAATGAAAATGGTACCAGCAGAAATTTGCTCGAATAGAAACATAATATTTCTTACAGAATAGGAATAATTACCATAATAGAAACATTCATTTTCATTAATTTAAATATTTTGCCCTTGTAAGCTTCTCCAGACTGACCTACCAGCCCCTCAACAACACTTGCTAGTAAAAACATAGAATATGAATTACAAAATAAAATTTATCAAAAAAAATTTAAATGAATTATTGTCCACCACTCTGTAGTATGGGTGCCACCGTTCAGATCATTAGGCTTTTTATTCTGGAGCAAGAGGCATGAAAAATATGCAATGCCCTCAATGGGATTCCAACTATGGACTTTATACTATTGCTAGTCAGAAGTGCTTTCCAGTTACACTAGAACAGTATGCAGTAAGGCGAAGAAAAACTGTATACAACTATTTTAAATATACATTTCGTACAAAAATTAGCAGTGTGCTAGTTTTCCTTAACCTTTAACTGCTATGAGCAGTCTGAGAGACCGTTGAGGATTTTCTAACCGTCATTTCCACCCCTGAAAGCGGAGAATGGTCCCTGTCCTTCCTCCTACCTTCCCAAACCCATCCCACAAAGGTCACATATCCAGTTTCACTCTTTTAGCTTTATTATGGTTTTCAGTTATCACATTTTTTCCTTTTTAAGGTGATCTGAGAGACTGCTCACAGCAGATGCGTATCAGTTTCAGTGGACGATAGACGTTATCGGATGCTTGTTTTTTCGTAAAAGTGATAAATATGGCTTCAAATTTTACAAGAAAATGTCCCGTATATCTCACTCAAAAAGAAATTGAATATCTCGTCAACAATATTTTTTATATAAAATACTCTGATTCTGAAGAATTATGTATTCACAGTGAAAGCAAAAGTTTCTGCAAATGAATATCATAATTTTTCTAATGACTGTGAACAAAACGATAATTTTTATGGAAAAAGAACTTCAAATAGAGCAAAACAAGAACCAAGTCGGGCAGTACGAACACAAAACATAACATAATAGTTCAGCTCCCTGGTCTGAAACACCCTGCAAAAATAGGCTCTAGAGAAGAGCCCGAAGATACTTGGAATTTATGTTCATACATATTGTTCTAGTCATATCCTGATGCTATAAAACTGAAAAGAAAAAAAATTTCATGCTTTTATTAGATAATCAACTTAAACTAAACCTTATCTGAAAGTTCGGATAACTTCCGCTTCTTTGCCAACGGAACTGCGATTTATCAAACCGGGAAGAAAAATTAGAAGAAAGAAAAACCCGTAGTCTGTGCCCACCTTGTAAGAAGAGAAAACAGCATGCAAAGAACCAGTGGTCTCATGCTCAAAAAAAGTGTTTTGACTGTATATCATCTTATGATTCATCCTGTACAAAGATATACTAATCTATTATTAATAATTAAATTCACTGTTGTAGAATATGGTTTAATTTAATAATAAAGTCACACATTTTCATGCATGTTTAATATCTTTGTTCTTAAATGATGAAAATAGTCATATTTTTTATATGAATTTAACTGCATAAAATAATGATTTGTTAAATATATTGATTTAAACAATTTAGATTCTATAATATGCATAAAGTATCTATAAATTCCTAAAAAGGCATAAAAGTATGTATTTTTAGGCGTTTCTTTAAAGTGGTCTGTGAGACCGCTTACAGTAATTACGCTGAAAAAAATGTCACAGCAGTTAAAGATTAATCAGATATTCAACAAATTTTCTCTTTTAAAATAACTAATAAGAAATCCTTCCTTCCCTTCTCCCTTTTAAAATTACTAAAAAGTTATTCTCATTATTAGGTTATGTAAGAGGTCATTACCTAAAATGTTCACAACTTAACTACATCCTGTTCTCTAAGATAAGAAAAGCTATGCTTCATATCTCTAAAGAATAAGGACATACTCTCTTAAATTTTAAGTCACACTCTTTTTATTTCTTACATATCATACATTCCCCCCCCTTCCATAATTACACCCTCACAACGTGAATGTTAAAAAGTTAGACATGAATGTTAAAAACACTCATAATTTAAAAAAAATATATACAATATCTATTCAGCACCAAAAGGAAAAATAATGCAAAAAATTGGTTATTCTTTACAAAGAAAATATGGCTTAATCAGTTTTATACACGAAGGTTGGAAAGAACATATTAATTGATATTTATATATCACAGCCTACTCTAACAGCAATTTTAAATCCCCCCCCACAACAATAATAGAAATTAGTTAAAAACTTTTAAACACTTTACAAACATCACTTGTAAGAAAATAATAATAAAAGACGTATATCAAAGAATAATTACATAGATGTCACAACTTCATTTTTCTTAAAACCACTGAATGTTATATTTCTATACAAGTTCTACTAGCAACAATTCTTCACACTGCTGAAATTACAAATCTGCAATTTTTAGCAATGAAAAACTAAACGATCCCATAATGAAATAAAAATTACTTACTACTTTAAAAGCCTTTTCTCGATGTATTTGAATAAATTATGAAATAATATTCAAAAATATTTTCTTCGGTACATTTTAGTTAAATCTAAGTATTTTGTAAAACACAAAATTACTATAATGTACATAAGGTAAAAAAAAACTTCTGCTAATAAAAATAAACACTTAAATTTTAAGAAAAATATTCAAAATGTTATGGTTATTTAATGGTAATTCAAAGGATTAGATTAAGTTGATTTGTTTATTACAGCAACATTTCCATGAGAAATTATTTAGAATAATGATTACAAGAAAGTCTAGAGATAATTATGATAAAGTTCAGGATATACATATAAGTTTTAAAACTGGATATGATATCAATACGTGCAACTTAAAAACAAATGTTCAATTAACAAAAAATTTACAGCACATGTTAACTCAATAAACTTCTTCTTTAAAATATTAAAATAAATTATTTTCTAATTAGAAAAACTGTATTTTCTTAAACATATTTCTCATTAAAAATATAATTTCTTTGCTTATATTCCTATCTCTTCAAATACATTATGAATACTAATGAAACAGAACAATGGAATGAAAATAATAATTTCAATAATCTCATTAAAATTTGCTTAAAATATATGTTACAGTTTAAAAATGAAAAATACCATTAATATGCAACTTTTAGTGTTTTTCAACTTAACATTTTAAATAACGGTTTTTCCAAGTTCATTTCTACAGTAACATCATTTAACATACCATGCTTGACGAACTTTAGCTCTGAGAAAAATACTAAAATATTTACGAACTTTACAATTACTTTTCAAACAGTATTTTACGTAGTGATTATACGTGAAAACGAATTAAATATTTTCGCAATATTACCGGCAAGCGAAATCGATAATGTTGCTCTAAACAGAAAACAGATGAATAAAACAGTCAAAACGCTTAAGAAAGAAATTCTTTTCTAAATTTAATAAAAATAATCTGAATAATTATCAATAAAAGGAGTTATAAAATACAATGATAATGGTTATCAATCTACACTCACCTGTCAACAAGACACAGGCCACCCGCACAACGGAGATGCCACGAATTCGAGGAAAAATTTATTCCTGAAATCCAATCACAAGGGAAAAAAACTAAAATAACAGCACAAACAATGCTTCGACTTCCTTGATCTTCCAAGCAAAAACTCGAGAGAAAAAAAATTACCGTTTGAACGATTTAACATCGTTACGGCGAAACCAAAACAAGATCGATGCAGGGCAGTCGTTTGGGCCGACCTGGCTGCCATGCCAGCCAAGCTAAAATAACAACACATATCTAGCCAGGTATGATAAGTTAGGGGCCCTTCGGCCAATTTCAAGACAGGTGACCCTTTTTATACGCTTAAATGGGCCCAGGAATAACAAGGATGACCCAGAAGAAGAAAAACCTGCCTTTTTCCCGCGAAAAGCCAGCGATGAGAAAAGGAACTCCATGTGCTCCGTTTGCAGATACACTACTCACTACGTGCACCGAGTCGTTGCTGTGGGTACGGCTGCCATATGCATGGATGTATGTATAGATGCATGTGGTCATGTGAACCGGATGGTGGCGGGGGTAGCGGAGGTTGCTTTCTTCCGGTGCCTGTATTTCGCACTTCCCTGATAAGCCACAGGAAGGTAGTTTTATCGATACCTTGCACACACACTGCATCAGCGAAGCAGAGAAGGAAAGGAACCGTTCCTGAACTTAGAATTCCCGGCGGAAAAAAAAAAAAGTTCCAAGAACTTGAAATCGAGGAATTAAAACAGGGAGAAAGAGGAACTAATAGCGTGGAAAATGCATCGCGCATGTGCACACAATATCTCCAACATCGATAAGATAGTAATTACGCACCTTTTAACTTGGGTAAGGTATCTGAGTGATAACATTAGCAACAGCAAAACGCCCGATGATCATTAAACAGAAATAAATATATGGCTAAACAAAACAAATATCATTAAATGATTTTCATATGCTATAAAGTAATAATTAATTAAGTGTCCCACAAAAGAAACATTACTTAATCTGAAAGTAAATAAATTTACCGAAACAACTGGAATATTGGGACAGTGGTCTCAGGCTAACGGGCTAGAGCATGTGTAAATTGAATACGCGGCAGTTTCCCTTAGAAAATCATCCACGAATGCGTCCCTCTCCTTAAGTAAATAGCCCTTATGAACTTTGTCATATTCAAATAAACTATCATTGAATGGCTAAATGATAAAGAGTTATCATTTGCACATTATTTACATTCATTTGGCGTCGTTTCGTTCTTAATTATGGTATCATTTACTAATAATGGTATCATTTTTATG